TACTAACTGTCATACATAGCCCCAAAACTTTTAGAACTTTGATTGCAATTGCTCAGAAAAAGACATTTTTCCAAGAGGGATTTTTTCATGAGTTGTTTTCAGATGTCAGAGTTCAAAGGTGAAAACGATCACTGCATCAAAATGAGATTTTCTGCTCACCCTGAGAAAAATGTTTTTTAACTGTTTAATAGAAATAAATCAATTTGGTAGCTTAATAAAGCTACCTCAGGTAGGTAAATAAAGCTATGTAGGTAAATCAAGCTATGTAGCTAAATCTAGTGATTGTACCAGACCTGGAATAATCTAGCTTTGTTTCTTCGACACACATCAGCGCTAACTTTCTTTTTACCGAGTCCATTATGCTATTTTATTATTCTTCTATAAAATATTTCAAATCTCGTGATTATCATAAAACATTCTATGCTACTCACATAAAGATCGTACCGTTTATTGCCCAGCTTGTAACAATTACATTTAGGCCTACAATGTCAACATTGGTCCAAATCCAATGATTGGATCCCTTCCCGCCAGCTTTTCATTAGAAACTTCCGGTATTTTTTTTTCTTATATGTACATCGATCCCGATAAAAATGTTGGTATATCTTGGTATATCTAGGCAATGATATCTGGGTTGTCGCAGGCGTGGGTTTAATTATTTTTTTAATGGGGTAGAAGAAGCAATGAGAGTGTATATATATATATAAAGGACAACTTAATAGCAATACTACAGGGACGTAGGATTTTTTTGGAAAGGGGGTGTCAGCATGGTCAACAAGGAAAAAAGATTCCTGTGATTTACCTGAAAAGATTAGGCCTACAGAAAAAGGAAAACAATTTTCCAAACCTGAAAATCCTCTTCTGTGTGGAAAGTGCAGGGTTAGGTTTCATTTTTTCCACAGCCGATTCCTCTTTATTCTGTACTACACAGCCTTTCACTAACCATGCTAACGTTTTGTAATACACAATTCTGTTAACTTATAATGCGTAAATTATATACAATATAAATTTCTAAAATATTTTCTCACATATAAAAACTTTCTGGAATCATCCGTTTTTAATTTCAAGATTTTTTTTTTAAAGTTTGTTTGCATAATCTTTCCTTTAAAAGAAACTGGCCAAAAAGTTAAAGTGTAGGATTTAGATTAAGACACCACCCCCTCCCCCTCGAAATTTGATTTTCGAGTCCCATTAAGTTCCATTTTTCAAATTCTTTGGAAGTTAAGGTTGATAATGTATGAATAACACTTTACGCAGCTTCTTGAAGGTTAGTAAATACTATACTCATCGATATAATCCCAAGATTAGTGTTTTTGTCATGTCCTCCAAAATTATTATAATATCTTTATCACAGTTCTCCGTGTTAACGTGACATTCATTCATCATGTTCATTACTTCATGTCCATATATATAAAGCACTGTCCAGTTAGTGATCATTTTGTATCACCAATCATGATGAAATGTCTGATCATTTTCTGTGCTCTTGTTGGTGAGTCTACTGGAGTGTTACTACTATAGGCATGAGAATTGTCTATATAGGTTTAATAAAATAATAGAATATAAAATCATCTTTTTATAGGTTCAATGAAAACTGAAAACAAAATTATTTTCGCCATATCTTAAAATTAAAATTTTATATTATTAAAAAGTGATAAATAATTCAGATTTTTTAAGATTTCTTTAATTTGATATATTTATTTTCAGCTTTCGTTGCATCTGAGAGATGCTTTTCTGATGCAGACTGTGATCACGTGACCTGTGACTCTGGGTACCAAGTCGACTGCAATCATTTTCTATGTACCTGCAACCCCTCAATGTCTGACAGTAAGTAATTTAGGTGTGTTGTCTATCATACCGGGGGGGGGGTCAAAAATATTAATTATTAAAAAAAAAATACTGGAAAAGGAGGAGATCGGTGGCTTACATCTGGCTTCGATTTCCATAGTTCTTTCTACTGTATTTGAACAACACATAATTATATATATATATATATATATATATATATATATATATATATATATATATATATATATATATATATATATATATATATATATATATATATATATATATATATATATATATGCCCGTATAATCGTATATGCACTTCTGCGATCTTCTTTACTAAAACACAATACATTTTTTTACGTACAAAGGATGCACAAGCAAAGACCAGTGTTCTGGAACATGTGATTCTGAGTGGCATTGTATTGACAACAGGTGTATGTGCAGAAATGTCTAAAAATACTGAAAAAGGTAGGTCATTCACTGAAATCACTAGCTAAAAAATATAATGATTTACATTGTATTCTTACTGGTCTGTGTTGATTTTGATAAAACATTGCCTTTTGTAATTCTTATTGTACATTCCAGAAGCTGAAAGAGCAGTTGGACAAACGCCTAACGGCCTTTCCTATCCTTATATTTTGAATGTAATGGCTCAATAAAAATTCATATGAAACTAAAGACTATCTCCGTTTTATAATCACAAATCTGAAAGACAATTATACGTGCAGGTGACAAAATTGCTACTGCTTAACTCTATTTCTACTCTGAAAATAGATCATTTGTCTAATCTGAAAAGAAAAATGTCTCAATTTAAAGTGGTGTCAAAACCAAACTTTTGTTGTTTATTGTCCGCAATTTTGTGTACACTGATTTGGAGGTTAACCCTGCAACACAGCGATAGTGACCATGTCCCTGAAACGAAGAACGATGTGTCCATCATATCTCTCAATACCACGTAATACTTTGGCATCCATAACAAGTGCTGTATAGTGAGTCTTATTCTCTCATATTGAGACCCCCTCCCGGAATATTGTGATCCCCAGCACAAAAGCCAGGGTATCCGGTATATATAGTGAGACTTCCCAGGAAAAAAAAGAGTTTTCTCCTGGAAGATTAGCTAACAAGTGAGACTTTCCCGGAAGACATTGCAAGACGGAAGACCCCCCCCGCCCCCCCCCCCTTCTCATAGCCAGACTTTCCCCTTCGATTTATTTTCCCAAAAGTTCTTTGGTGTCCTGTCTCAACAAATATTGCCAGTCTTCCTAGAAAAAAGGGGTTTATCAATATCTAGCCAAGCTGCCGTTGGATGTCTCACTATATATAAATATAGCCTATGTTCCAGGAAAAATTACCAGAGAAATGTCATGCAGATGAGTTTTGAAAGCAGCCTATTTTATGCCCTGTTCACACGGAGAGTTTAATTCGCATTAGTTTGATTCGCATTAGTTTACTTCGCATTAATTTACTGCGAATTAAACTCTCCGTGTGAACAGGGCATAAGCAATGTGTGCTAATGTTTAGCGTTTTTGCTTGTTTGTTTTTATATTACAAATATTTATTTTATTATATAAAATCATAACATTGTTATAAAGCTTAAAATGTAAGTGTTATAGCAACTTGCAAAGAAATTTTAACTTCAAGGTCAATGTCACAGGGTCAAAAGTCATAATTCATTTAGGAATATCTTGCCATTGGTAAAATACAAGTTAGCTATGAAAGTCCTATCTTTTCTCTTTCAAAAGTTGTGACTAATTCAAAGTAATGTTATAATTTTTAAAGTAAATTAAAAAAAAAATTAGAAGAAATGGGGCTTTCATGTATCTAAGATGTGCACGATATTTTCGAACATGCTATGAATTTTGACCTCTTGGCTTTGACCTTCATGTTTGACCTAATTTTGAAAATTTTAACTGTGGTGATTTCTTTTGAATCAATGACATATGATAGCTAGAGCGTTCATATTTGACAAAATATGCCATAAAAATACGAAGACACCGAAATCGGGGACCACCTTCTTTGAACTTGCTTGTTTTCCTTTGGCAATGATTTTTCACTCGACCTCGATTGTTCGCCACCCTGTTCCGCTCCCGCTCCGCCCTGAATTAAACTGAAATAATTCTCGCTCGGGAATAAAGTTCATGGGTGATCAACAAGTAAATATATATGTATATATGCATGTTAACATTGAATCAGATTCTTTTAGTTTATAAAATACGAGTCTTCTATTTATTCATTGAAGTGGATTGAACAGCAGGCATAAACGCTTATGATCGTTCTCTCCATCAGATTTTTTTTTCTAAAAGAGGGGTATTATAGTTCAATCTGTATGAAGTGAAGACATCATATCTACCCGGTATTCAATCCATCATAATTGTTAAAAAATAATATATCTTCTATAGATACTATAAACATAACAAGGCATGCCTTGTTATGTTTATAGTATAGAAGATTTATTATTTTTATGCACCCGGATCGATAGATCGAGGGCGTATATTGTTTTTGTCCTGTCTATCTGTCTGTCTGTTTTTATACTGTTTGTCTGTCTGCTGTCAACATAACCCTTCGCCATAAGTTTTGAGAGATAGAGACTTCATATTTGGTGTGCATACTCCACTAATTAAGCTTTTTCAAATGACATCAAGGTCAATGACCTTGTGGCCTTGACTGTGACCTACATGCTAAAAATAGCTTTCTCGAACTTTGTTGCCGCCGGGCGCATAGTGTCTCACAAACACATCTTGTTTAAGAATTAAGATGTGGAGTGCCTATGTGAAAAACAAGACCCCAGATTGTCTTCTGGATTAGGTAGGTTTGATGGAGGGGTGGGTACACATGCAGATTAATTATCACATTCTAATATTATCATCATCTAAGAAAGCCCCATATATCACTCAAAAGATTGAAGACCCAGTATATTTTTTAAAAAGCATTATTTATTTATTTATTTATTTATTTATTTATTTATTTATTTATTTATTTATTTATTTATTTAATCAATCAATCGATCAGTCATTCTGTGTGTGCTCTTCAACAAAGATAACAAAAAAATACGTTCCCCTTCTCTTTTTTGGGTTAAAAGACATGTAAATGTATCAACATTTTAAAGCTAATATGAAACTACATGTATATTGGACATTTTTTAACCTGCTGTATTGGATTGTTGGAAAAAAATCCGGGAAAGTAACAACTTTCCATATCGGTTCTAAATGTTAGAGTTTCTTATGCGCCATTTCGTAAACAAAACAGGAACCATTTTCTGACTAATCACCTTTTGTTATCATATGATCATAAATACCTGATATATTTATAAACACAACATTTAGAAAGGTTTTAAAGAAGTATCAAGGAGAAAAAGAAGGGAAAGAAGATGGGTTGTATCATCGGCTCGGTGTGTATCGTGTTTTGTCTTTCATTTTGATTTTGACAGGTGTTCTATAAATAATATCAACAATCTAACATGATTATGGAATTTTATCTCCATTAATACATTACTGATTAGATATGACAAATGTATTTGCCTTTTATAAAGTGGAAAAAAACGATAAATATTCCCGAAAGAAGCCAGTCGGCAGCCGTCCCTTGTTCACTGTAGCTATATGCACAATAAAGAAATGATAGGCCTATATTTCACTGTTCATCACTCAAATAATGAAGTTTTTCTAATGTACCATAAGAACTTAGTTTCAAGAAGAGTAAATACTTGTGTTATAGAAGGAATTTAGTTAGATCCGTATTTCCTATTGTAGCTGGCCTGTTGTTGCGGCAGTGCTGCATGCAGTCTTTGTTGTGCTGCCTGTCCATCCTGTAAAAATTCTACAGCCTCTAGGATCGCATACTCTCTTCTGTTGATTGCTGGCACTGTCATTGCCAGTCTCTTCCTTATTCCTGGGCTAGAGACCGAGTTAGAGAAGGTACATTTTATTTCTGACAGATTTATAATTTAAAACTTCATAGAATAACATAATTCCACACTGATCATTCTTCATGGTCTCTTGACTGTGATGACTCAAAATGTGGGTATGTAATACTGAATTCTTAATATAGCATAAAATATTTTTGTAGATTCCAGCGCTTTGTAAAGATTACAAGGTTCAAGGAGTAACAGTGATTGACAGTGATGGTCGGAACTGTAGTGATGTGGTGGGGTACCTCTCCGTATACAGGATCTGCTTCGCCATGGCGGGCTTTTTTGTCCTGTTCTGCCTCATAATGATCAATGTGAAGTCGTCTAAAGACCCCAGATCTGGCGTCCAAAACGGGTAAGAATCAACTGTGATTCTTCTTATTCTGTATTGTACGTATCTGTAGTCCCCGTGACAAAGTAAGGACAGTTAAATTAATCTACTGATAGGTACATAGGTAGTAGATGAGATGAAGATAAAAATTTGATGTACACTTGGAAGTTTTTTCTTTCATACTTCTTTTCAAATAAACATGCTGATATACAGCTGATATACATGATTGTAAAATTTAATTTCAGTTTTTGGGCCATTAAGATTCTCGTTCTAATTGCTATCTGTGTTGGAGCTTTCTTCATTCCTAGAGGAGAATTTGGTATTGGTAAGTACTTATCTTACAACACATCATTTAAATGTTTTTTTTTCTTTTAACAAATTTTATTTTTAAAAAGATGCTAAGAAATGTTTTATACTCTGCTTCTTGAATTGCCTTATATAGTATTGTTAGATAAAAATCTTCATATTCTTTAAAGGAACTGCCATTAAATGCATGGTATGCTTTTATACAGATTCAGAGGGGTAACATTGGCTAATGTTTGAGGGGAAAATGAAAACACTTGTTTATATCATTAGATGATAAGTATAGAAGTATAATTTGAAACAGAAATATTAGTGGCTTGGTCATAAAAGGAACGTTCATATATACTGATGATGTCTTTATTAGTTCAGGATGGTTACATCAACGATACATCAACGTAAGAACTGTAAAACAAATACAAAATTTATCAGTAATAATTAACAAGAAAATCTAAATTACATTAAGTACACAAACATGCACTAAGATGACCCTTTGGTATACATACACATGTAGACTAGAGTTCAATATTCAATAATATCAGCTAATTGACTAGTAATATGTAATATGAATAACATCTATACGTTTAATTTAATTCATTACTTAATCTCAATAAAATATTACCAGTGACAATCAGAAAATATGACTTTGCTACTTCACTTAAAACATGTAAACAAACTTGGCGCCTTGCCTTACATTACCGTACAAAGGGCAATAACTCTAAGTAAATCATGACACAAAAATTCCATGTGCACAACAAATAATCTCACAACCGATAATTTACATAATAATTCAGTTCTATTTAATCATTAAATTGGTATGATATATAAAATACAAACTGCTATGGGACTAATAATTATCAATCAAAATTTCACTACACATGGGTCAAAATGGCGCCATGTATAAAACCACACTAGCCATGCTTGTACAAAAATGCTCTACATACAGAGTAATCGTTATAAATATGTAAAATCAGAAACATTAACTAACAAGGTCAGGGACGTTAAACGTTACTATGAGCATATGAATACATAATTGCTAATTACCTTGTTCTCCTGACCAAGTCGCTAAGTTTTAACTTTATCGTTCTTTCGTTCACGTTAGGATGTACAAAGATGCTGGGCGGAAATTACGTAATATACAAATAGTAGCCGGACCCAAATATAAGAAGATTGCCTATCCGGAATTATTTACCAAACATTGTTACACATATGTGATTTACAAAAAATATTGCAAATAAAATAGACTCCATTAAAATTATAGTAAAATAAAAATTATGACATTTACACTCCCACCAAAATCAGCATGATTTTAGACATTCAAAGTATCAATAAAGGTGTTAAGCTTGCAATCTACATATCGTCTAGAATACAACATACAACTATAACATAGCAGTTACATTAATTTGCAATGAGTAGCACAAGCTTATGAACTGTTCTCTCCAGAACTCCAGACTGCATTTTCACCTTGACTCTCCGTACAAGACCATCATCATCTGGGTTGGCTTCGACAACTCTACCAAGAGGCCATTGGTTGCGTGGCAGGTCAACGTCCTTCACCAGAACAATGTCACCTTCCTTGATGTTCCGACGAACTCCATGCCACTTCTGTCGTAAGGTGATCTGAGCCAAGTATTCATGTCTCCAACGGGACCAAAATTGTTCCATAAGGTACTGTACACGTCTCCAACGTTTACGGACATATATGTCTTCCTTCACGAACTCTCCAGGAGGGGGAAGGGGAGAAGTGGTCTTCCCAGTTAAGATGTGGTTCGGAGTAAGCGGCTTCAGTGAGTCTGGGTTGTCTATCTCACTAACCGTTAGTGGGCGACCGTTTACAATAGACATCGCTTCATAGAATACGGTTCTCAGTGAGGAATCATCTAGTCTTCCAGGACAAAGTAATAGTATGGCATTGAGTATGTTACGGACGGTTCTTATTTGACGTTCCCATACACCTCCTGTATGACTAGCACTGGGCGCGTTAAACACGAATTCACAGTGTTTCTCTGCCAAGAATGAACATATTCTTTCCTTGTTGAGTGCTTTCTGAAACTCATTCTTAGCTCCAATGAAATTGGTTCCTTGGTCCGAGCGCAACTGTCGCACAGTTCCTCTAATGGCGATAAAACAGCGCAAACCATTGATAAACGCATCTGTAGACATGTCATCTAACATCTCAATGTGGATAGCACGAGAACACATGCAGGTAAATAGTAACCCATATCGTTTTATTTCCTTCCGTCCCTGTTTCACAATAAATGGGCCGAAACAGTCCATACCGCAATATGTGAAAGGCGGAGATGGTTCCATACGCTCCTTGGGCAAGTCTGCCATTCTCTGTGTCTCTGTCGGTCGTCTCAACTTCCTGCATATAACGCACTGACATATGTAGCTGGCTACTGTCTTACTTCCTCCTACAATCCAATAGCCAAGAGACCGGAGCTTGTTCAGGGTAATTCCTCTTCCTTGATGAAAGGTTTCCTTGTGAGCATGTGAAAGAATCAAGTGCGTGATATGACCATTTCTGGGTAAGATTATTGGGTTCTTGTAAGCATCAGACAGGGTTGCCTTCCTCAGTCGGCCTCCGACTCAAAGTATCCCATCTTGTAGAATAGGCTCTAGGGGTTTCAGGGAGTTAGACTTTGGTAGCCCTTCAGATTTCTCGAGAGCGCTGATAGCATCTTGAAAGGTTTCATGTTGAACGTGTTTGATGATAGTTTGTTCTGCTTGAAGTCTTTCAATCGGATTTGATGGATAGGTTCCCTTGACACCATTGGCGAGTCTCTGCATTCTGGCGATGAAGGATATCATTTTGGTCCAAGATGAGAATCGAGACAGAATGTCAAGGATACTAGAATGAGCCTTTGTTTTGGTGCATAGAGTTCTTGCAGATCTTACTTCAGGGTCTCCAAGTTGCAACTCTGTTTCAACACCTTTGCTTTCAATGATGGACTGCCATAGTAATGGAGGGCCGGTCAACCATGAAGAATCATTAACTTCAGATGCACGCAGTCCACGCGAGGCGTGATCGGCTGGGTTGCTGGCAGATTCAATGTATAGCCACTGATGAGGTTTTGTTGCATCTCTTATCATCTGTACACGGTTTGCAACAAATACGTGGAACCTGCGAGCCTCGTTGTTGATGTAGCCAAGCACCACTTTAGAGTCTGTCCAAAAGTATTCTCTGTTGATAGGTAGATTCAGCTCCCTCTTCAGAAATAAACTGACCTTCACTGACAATACTGCAGCTGTCAATTCCAAGCGAGGTATCGTTACAACCTTTAGAGGTGCTACTCTTGCCTTTGCGATAACTAAAGCACAATGTACCTTCGTTCCCTTTACAACTCTAAGGTAAGAACACTGTCCATAGCCATTTGTGCTTGCATCCGAGAAATGATGCAGCTCAAAGGTTTTCGGTTTGCCAAAATCACTTGGTATGAGGCATCTTGGGACTTTGATGAGATCAAGGTTCTGTAGATCTTTGATCCAAGCTTCCCATTCAAGTAGTCTGTCTGCGGGTAGAGGGTCATTCCATCCTATGTTACCTTGACACATCTCCTGCAGTATTCGTTTCCCAGTCAGTGTGAAAGGGGAGAGAAATCCCAATGGGTCGAATATTGATGCTACAATGGATAGCATACTGCGCCTAGTAGGAGATGCATTCTGGTCGACAGCTTTGAAGCAAAATGCATCCTCTTCAATGTTCCACTTTATACCAAGTGCTTGTTCCATAGGTAATTGTTCATGTGAAAGGTCTAAGTCTTTAACATCTGCCGCTCTCTCTGATTCAGCAACAGAATTTATTACGTTCTTGTTGTTGGAAATAAATTTGTGTAGACGCAATCCACCATTGGCACACAGAATCTGTGCATCTTGAATTAACTTGATAGCTTCTTCTTCTGTCTCAACACTGGTGAGCCCGTCATCCACATAGAAATTATTCTGCATAAAGAATGATGCAGCTTGAAGTTGCTCTTCTTGGCTTTTGGCTAAGAACTTGAGTCCATAATTAGCACATCCTGGGGAGGAAGGCGCTCCAAACAGGTGTACTCTCATACGATATTCCTTGGGTTCTGCATCCAAGTTTCCATCCTCCCACCATAGGAGTCGTAAGAAGTCTCGGTCTGCTTCATGTACAACAAACTGGTGGAACATCTTCTCCACATCACACATGACAGCCACAGGGTGTTGTCTGAATCTGCATAGAACCCCAGTCAAAGCATTTGTTAGATCCGGACCAGTCAGTAGGTATTCGTTTAATGAAGCCTCTTTGAATCTTGCTGAACAGTCAAAAACTACTCTAAGCTTTCCAGGTTTCCTCGGGTGATAAACACCATGATGTGGGATATACCATGTATTTCCACTGACACCATCTGACGATACTGGTTCGGCGTCGCCTCTTTCCAATACTTCTCTCATGAAAGTCTTGTAATGTTCTTGATATGTCTGGTCTCTTTTAAGTTTTCGTTTCAGATGATCTAAGCGAATCAATGCAAGTGACTTGTTGTTGGGCAGGGAGGGTCGCTCCTTGAATGGTAGAGGCATTTCCAAATGCTTATCCTCATGCTGCTGTATGTTTTCTTTCATGAAGTTAAGGAAGGCGATGTCATCTTGAGATATCTTTATATCTTCATTCTTGTCATGAGCAAAGTCTTTCTCCAAAGTTTTTATGACATCCCTGGGTGTACAGCTATGCAGCTCCTTCACTGAAGTTCTGTGACAAACAACAGTAACGTCCGAGTTTGTGCGATCTGTGTATCCAACCACGCTCCAACCAAGCAGTGTCTGGATGCCATATGGCTGGTTCTCGTTTCCTGTTAGAGTTCTTCTTGGTACAAGAGCTTGAGGACAATTGTATCCAATCAAGAGTCCAACTTCACATGACTGAAGAGGTGGTAGTTCATTGCTAAGCTCCTTCAGGTGTGGCCAGCACATTATAGTTTTCCTTTCAGGTATATGTGAGCGATCCGCAGGAATGAAGTCTCTTGTATATGCATTGTCTATTGTCACAAATTCCGTAGACTTGAACCCTCTCACTCTCAGGTTCTGTATACGGAAACTGTTAATGATAGTGTGCTGTGAGGTCATGGTAGACAAGCTGAGACGTGTTGGTTGTCTATTCACATGCAAGGCAGCAGCCGTTTCGTCTAGCACAAAGGTAGTGTCACTTTGTGTGTCTAAGAGAGCATACCGGTATGTCAATATCTCGTGCGAGGGGTTCTCCTGAACAGAAAGCCACACCGGAACGATCATGGAGTGCTGTGACCATATCCTCTGCTCACACGAAAGGAACTGGCTTCCTTGACCTCTAATTGTTGCTTTCTTGTTGGTGATTCATCTTCATGCATGCAGGTTGGGTGTTTTCCCTTGCAGATACCACACGTATGCTTCTTCTTGCAGTCCTTGTTTCTGTGGCCCTTGCGTAGACATCCAAAGCACAGGTTTTTCTTACGCACTACCACTCGTTTATCCTCAATAGACAAGTTAATAAATTTCTCACACTTGAACAAGGGATGTCCTTCTTTCTCACAATAATCACATAAGTTGGGTCTCATGTCAGTTCCCGTTGCATTGTGCTGATGAGTTGAGGACATTTGCTTTGCAACTCGAGTTTTTGTGCTCTCTTGAAGGTTTAGTGTCAGTGTCCTTGAGCGCATAGATTGACGAGACTGGATTACAAGCAATGCGAGCCTCCTTTACGACGAAGTCCACAAACTTGGAGAATAATGGATATTCACCAGTAGAGTCAATAGTTTCTTGAACTTGACGATTCCAACGCAGTGCAGCCCAATTAGGAAGTTTGCTTAATAGTTTCTGATTTTCAGAGCAGTCGTCCAGAATTTTAAGGCTTGGAACCTGAGGCGTTGCATCTTGACAGGCTAGTAGGAAGTCTCCAAAATCTCTGAGAGCCTTTGAATTCCCTTCTGTGATTTTGGGCCAATTCTCTAGTCTCTTCCTAAATGCCTTCTGCATAACAAATGGGTGTCCGTATCTGTCCTGCAGGACTTGTCTGGCGTTTTCATATGCAGAGCTGCTTCCACTGTAGAAGAATCCATCTATGGCCTGTAGTGCTTCACCCGCCACGTATCTCTTCAAATAGAATAGTCTCTCTTGCTCAGGAATGCCTTTACGTTCTATCAATGCATGAAAGGCTGTCTTCCATTCTACGAATCTAAGTGGATCTCCTGTGAACACTGACGGCTCAGGTATAGGTAGTCTATTAAGGTTCACTGAGTCCGCAAACACCTTTGCTAAGATACTTGTTGTAGAATCATCGTTTGTGGTGCTGTTCGAGTTGACTGTAGCGTTGTTAGTAGGTGGGTTGAATAGAGTATACGTAGACCTCCCAGTGTGTGTAACGGTAGGACGAGTAGTAGACGTGACGACTGGTGTAATCGAAGGGTGGCTAACAATAGTCGTAACAGCCGGGGGGTCAGTTGGACGTCTTCTAAAGGAAGTGTCATGTTCAGTTTGACGTCTGCTTGTGGCTGCAGCAATGTTCACATCCCCCTGCATCAAATCCGAGTAGGCCTTAAGTCTTGCTTCTGCCATTGCAACTGATTTCTCTGCTTGCAATTTTCTCACTTCCCGCTGCTGAGTTTCTAGTAGTTTTCGTTGTTGCTCTTGCAGTGCTTCAAACTTTGTTTGCTGTTCTTCTTCTTTCTTTATCGACTCCAGTTCTACCCTTTTGGTTGCTACATCTGCGAGGGCATCCACGAACTTTGAGGACAGTTGTGATTTTATCGAATCACTCTCCGAGACACTAGACCAACTTAAGTCACTAAACACAGACCTAGCATACTCATTATGCTTTAAACCTTTACGACTGTCTATGGTGTCTTCAAATCCTGAGATTTTTTCATTGATGAGATGAGTTATGTCTTTAGAAATAGCAACACAAGCGTCCACTTTCCGAACTACACTTTGGTGTGGTGCACTACATGAATTACGCAAATGTTCAAAAGCCTCTATGACCTCTCTTTCCAGCTTCAATATTTCGTCTAACATGTTTCCAAGATCTTCTTCACTGGACTCTATTTTCACATTTTGTCTACACTCTCTGACCTTGAACTTCCATCGATCGAAGCACAATTGAATCCTCTTTTCACGTCTCTTAGACTCCTGGTCCATGTAATCTAACATTCGGTCGGTGGGTTTATGTACCTGTTCAGACTTCCTCTGTCCCACAAGTAAAGTGTCTTTGTTTGTCGTTTGTTGTGTCTCATTATTCACTGGTTCGTTGTTTTCGTTATTCATCGTTGTATCATAGTTTTCGCTGGATGTTGTACCATTAGCTGTATCCGTAACATCAGGCGTTGTACCATCCGGGGTTGTTTTGTCATCAACCTTTGACATCTTGATGAGACTGAAGTCAAGTTCTTACTATTAGTGGCTTGGTCATAAAAGGAACGTTCATATATACTGATGATGTCTTTATTAGTTCAGGATGGTTACATCAACGATACATCAACGTAAGAACTGTAAAACAAATACAAAATTTATCAGTAATAATTAACAAGAAAATCTAAATTACATTAAGTACACAAACATGCACTAAGATGACCCTTTGGTATACATACACATGTAGACTAGAGTTCAATATTCAATAATATCAGCTAATTGACTAGTAATATGTAATATGAATAACATCTATACGTTTAATTTAATTCATTACTTAATCTCAATAAAATATTACCAGTGACAATCAGAAAATATGACTTTGCTACTTCACTTAAAACATGTAAACAAACTTGGCGCCTTGCCTTACATTACCGTACAAAGGGCAATAACTCTAAGTAAATCATGACACAAAAATTCCATGTGCACAACAAATAATCTCACAACCGATAATTTACATAATAAGTCAGTTCTATTTAATCATTAAATTGGTATGATATATAAAATACAAACTGCTATGGGACTAATAATTATCAATCAAAATTTCACTACACGTGGGTCAAAATGGCGCCATGTATAAAACCACACTAGCCATGCTTGTACAAAAATGCTCTACATACAGAGTAATCGTTATAAATATGTAAAATCAGAAACATTAACTAACAAGATCAGGGACGTTAAACGTTACTATGAGCATATGAATACATAATTGCTAATTACCTTGTTCTCCTGACCAAGTCGCTAAGTTTTAACTTTATCGTTCTTTCGTTCACGTTAGGATGTACAAAGATGCTGGGCGGAAATTACGTAATATACAAATAGTAGCCGGACCCAAATATAAGAAGATTGCCTATCCGGAATTATTTACCAAACATTGTTACACATATGTGATTTACAAAAAATATTGCAAATAAAATAGACTCCATTAAAATTATAGTAAAATAAAAATTATGACATTTACAAGAAATTCTAGAATTATTTTCACTTAATACTGTTTTATTATGGTAAGAAGCCCTTTCTACAAGAGACTATACCTATACACTGATGTGTTAAGGCTATTTATCTGTGGAATGATCTGATTGGTTGTTTGATTGACAGCCTGGAAGTACATTGGTTTGATTTAAGGTTGTTTATCTGTGGAATGATCTGATTGGTTGCTTGATTACAGCCTGGATGTACATTGGTTTGATTTAAGGCTATTTATCTGTGGAATGATCTGATTGGTTGTTTGATTACAGCCTGGATGTACATTGGTTTGATTGGAGCCTTCCTCTTCATCATCATCCAGCTGATTCTCCTGATCGACTTCGCGCATGGCTGGGCAGAGAGCTGGGTGGAGAAATACGAGGAAACAGAAGCTAAATGCTATTATTTTGGTAAGCTGAACCCTTGCTGTATTTTAGATGCTTACTTTTAGAAAATATTTACATGTAATTCAAAACATTCAAAACATTGTTTGCATGCTTTCAATCCTAATTGCCATTTTTATGTCATAATACAAAAGTACAAGTATGTAATTGAAAAGTAAAAATAAATTAAAAACTTTGGTTGATAAATGCAGAAACTTCTTCTCTATAATTAAACTTTTGTCCCTATTGTCGAGTAATGCTGAAAAATCAGAGATACTCACTTCAGCAAAAATTGTTCTGGCCTCAGGAAACTGAAATCTTGCTACATCTTCCAATTATACACTAACTTCATACTTATTTGTAAATGATTGGACAAGTCAACTGATATGTACCTAATGCTCATTAATTTGTCATTACATGTAAAAGTTTGCCTACAGAGAGTGTTAATTACCTGTTCTATATTTGATTTACAGGCTTGTTGTTCTTCACCTTCCTGTTTTATACCCTGGCCATTGTGGCAGTTGTCCTGTTTTATGTCTACTATGGCAGTGTAAGTATATTTAATCTGTGTATTCTCATATTTGTACATATGTACATGTATATAGTTAACACTATAAACATACATGCAAGAGAGAAAGAGTTGTATGATTGAAAGGAAAAGGACATCATAAAATGAGGGACTAAACCAGATAGTATTTACACATACATGTATACATATGTTCTGAGGTAAAATCCTTGGTTTATACATTATGTTAAAAAAAAAGTGTTTGACTAAACTCTCAGAATTTTCAAATGCATTACTCAATCAGGAATTTGTTACTGTTTAAGTCATTCAATTCTGTTCAAGGGCTTATTTTTGTGCATAGAGGAAGTATTTTCTCTTCATACTTCTGACTTTTTAAGGATATGCATAGCACATGGTATTCCATGTGTCAGTTCAGTGTACACAGTAATGGAGCTTGTTATTTTTTCTTCACAGGCTGAGAGCTGTGGTTTACACAAATTCTTCATCAGTTTTAATCTGATCCTGGCTGTCGCAATTTCTGTCATAGCCATTTTACCCAAAATCCAAGATGGTTAGAAGATTTATTCATCTTAAAGACTTCTTTAAATAAAAGTTCAGCAACTAAAAAGAATTTCCATCTTTATGTTTAACTTTATGAATATTTACTGGTAATATCTTTTTCAGTGAACCCTCGTTCTGGCCTGCTGCAGTCCTCAATCATTACTCTGTACATAATGTACCTCACCTGGTCTGCCATGTCAAACAATCCAGGTATACAGTCTAACCCCCTCCCACCCACCCACACAAGCATAGGACTATAACAAGTTATAAAAAAAAAATCATGCAAACAAAATAAAATTAATTCCTTTCAATGATGTTTTATATCAACTGATTCACTTACAGTTCCAAATCATCAATTGTTTTTCTAGTGGTAACAATACATGTATATGTATCTGGATATACTTCCTGGTGTGTTTCTTTTTTCTGTAAACATGCATATAGAAATTTCATAATTTATTTTCTTTTGAATTACTACTAAGTATTATTAGATGATTTATGCAACCTGCATTGATTTGTACTATAGCTATTTAATTGTCTATTATTAAGTTTTCATTTTCAAACATTTTAGACACAACTTGCAACCCTAACCTGAGTTTTACAAATGGCACCCTGACAGCTTCAGACAGTGGGGACTATGTTAAGAACAGCTTTGACTACCAGAGTCTGCTGGGCCTGTTGTTGTGGATTCTGGCCGTGCTCTACTCTAGGTCAGTTAATTCTCCAAAGAGTTCTCTCCCTTGGAATATCACCCCCTCTGATTATCTTACAGGTTTGTGTTACTCATTGATAATTATCTTTTACAGCATCCGTACCTCCAGCAACAGCCAAGTGGGAAAATTGACAATGTCCGAAAGAACCGTTCTACAGGCTGATTCAGGTATGGGGCAAATATAATTTCATAAATGAACATAAATAAAATTCCTGATCTTATGTTAAGAGACTCTAAATCCAGTTATTGAGGTAGAAATGATAACATTCTCAACAAGTTCTTGCTTAGATTATAGGGACATTTTTAAATATCTTGAATGATATTTTGTCTAAATTTTAGGTGATGCTCGACTTATTGATGGTATGAATGTACAATGTAATGCTAAAAGAAAGATGTTCATGCTAAAATTTTCATTTTGATTCTAAACTAGATCTTTCTCAAAATTATTATTTGAATTTGAGTAAATTTTTGGTTCAGAGATTGCAAGCATTGCATGCATTCCATTTATAAGGTCTTAGATAAAAGTCTTGTCTTATGGATGTTGTAATTGTCCTTGTGTTTCACAGTTACATTTGACAATGCATTTTTACACTAAAAATATACACGAATGTTTTCCATCTGCAAAGCATTGCTTGCTTTTAACTCTTTTTTTCCAGTTTTAAAGAATAAAGTAATATGCATTATATGTATACATTAACTTGCAAGAATGACGATACCCTGATATAGAACTATGTTGGAGACATGTATTACATGTACACTGTATAATATGTTTCCTGTGCATATACATTCAAAGTTAGAATTGTACAGTCTTTTGTTAAAAAAAAATACAGGGATGGTTTAGAAATAAAATAGATATTGGAAGGTTTTAAGTTCAGTTTTTATATGACATGAAACTTTACCCATAGTGAGGTAGTGTACCAGTGATTTGTTATACAATTCCCAGGTTTACTGTGAACCAACTATTATTTGCGTCATCTTTTATTCGCGATGCGTTAGTTTGAAATCAATCTGTTACAATTAGTTTTCACGACCATGGAAATATTTCCTACAAATTCTTATCAAAATTATTGGTTCACGGTGATTAATATTCGTGGATAAAAGTAGGTTGCTAAACTCACGAATATTTCTCACATGGGAATAAAAGTTGGTTTACAGTATTAATCAACAAACAAGTACAAGCAATGCACAATGCATAAATGCCATAAATAATGCAATTTTTATACTGAATTACTACAAGATAATTATAAATAAATTAGGAATTGCATGCTATAATTGTTTGTATATGGTATTTGGAATTGACAGGGGACAGTTATAAAGGTGAGTAGAAGAGTTTGGTCAGTGTTGAGAACATATCCTTACTTCACATAAATATACTTGTACTTACTCTCGAAGCATTAAAATGTGTATTCCCTATACTTAAATTGTAATCTATTTGAAAAAAAAAAACAGGCAGCTTTCAATTTTAACAGAAAGCGGTAAATTTGATTAATTGTAGCATTTCTTGTATATGTTATATATATTTAAAATGCTACTTTCAGGTCATGGAAGTGCTTGCACTTTATAAATCGTAGAGTAAATGTTCAGTAAAATTTGTGCTTACTTGCCTTTTATTTTAGAAATTTTGAGGTCTTCCAGTTTCGTATTGTGGCGAGAATTTGAGATTTGTTTCTCATTGAAACACTGTATAGTAGATTTTATACCTTTGAATCTCATAAAAGAACATAATTCTGCAACAGCTGCCTGTTTTTATCACCACTGTGGACAAGGAATTTCTGTAAAATATTGTCAGAAATTATCACACAATGGTCTGGATCAAGTTGCAAGAAAGATCTTTGAAGTATATTTCATTAAATTAGAAAGAAGTAGAACAGACACTGTTGATAAATATGCTCAATTTATAAATAAAATAAAGCCATTTTCATTGATAATAAAATGCAGTCAGTTCTCTCAATTCACATAAATGTAACATGTATATATAATAAAATAATTCTCAGGTCAAGAGCAACTGAAATATTGAGTTTTAATCTTAATACCTTTACTTTAATGTTGAAGTTTATAATATTTGTTATAATATTTGAAATTTAAATTTGAATAATTTAAGCATGTGTTTAAGCAGTGTATGCTTCGTGACATCTAATATTTTAACCAGAAAGTTACTGAATTGACTCCCATCTATTTAGATTTTGAATACCACAGTACTGTTAACTTAAATTTCTTTTCAAATTATGGTATACACTGTATTACATTTAATTTATCAAAGTCTGATTGGAAGGGGTGTGTAATTTTTAGAGATTCATGTATTTTTTGTTATGTCTTTGTGTCTTAAATTTTTTTTCTTTCATTTTTTGTGAATATCTGTCAGCACGTATAGTAGGCTCTTTCTTTGTCTTTGACGTAGTTTCTCATTTAGTGTGTTATTTATGGAAAACTAGCACATAAACCCATGATTCGTTAATTCCCTTGTCATAAAACTTAAAGTATATTGATCTGATAATGATAGAACTACCAGATAGGAAAAATGCGAAACAGCTTTAATGTTATAGCTGGACTCTTCTGTCATAATGAAGCTTCTATCCTGCAGTACACTTTTTGTTTCAGTCAGCTACTGTAGAATACTTTTTTCCATGTGGTATTAATCTACGCTATGTACACGGTCACAAATTTTCCGCGGAAATTTGTCCAGGCGTACTTAATATAAATATAAAGCATTTAGTGACCGTCTAAGAAATCTGCATAATTTTCTACCCACGGATTAAACAGAAATTGAGATTCCGCAAATTATGACCCTGTGGAAAAAAGTACTTCTACAGTATTTCGATGTAGAGGTTAAAAGAACGAAGTGCTAATGACTGTTTACATGTGTACTTGTTTCCAGATGTTTGTTTACTTGTTTACAGGTGCTTTGTTTACATGTTCTGTAGGTGCCTTGTTTACCTGTTTACAGGTGCTTTGTTTACTTGTTTACAGGTGCCTCTGACTCTGGTGATGAGGAGAAGGGGAAACAACATGTGTGGGACAATGAAGAGGAGGGTGTGGCCTACAGCTACTCTTTCTTCCACTTCATGCTGGCTCTGGCATCACTCTACGTGATGATGACCCTCACCAACTGGTACAGGTAAGGTCAAGGTTATATCTCAGTCTGGACTGGCCAACTGGTACAGGTAAGATCAAGGTTATATCTCAGTCTGGACTGACCAAGTGGTACAGGTAAGGTCAAGGTTATATCTCAGTCTGGACTGGCCAACTGGTACAGGTAAGGTCAAGGTTATATCTCAGTCTGGACTGGCCAACTGGTACAGGTAAGGTCAAGGTTATATCTCAGTCTGGACTGGCCAACTGGTACAGGTAAGGTCAAGGTTATATCTCAATCTGGACTGGCCAACTGGTACAGGTAAGGTCAAGGTTATATCTCAGTCTGGACTGGCCAACTGGTACAGGTAAGGTCAAGGTTATATCTCAGTCTGGACTGGCCAACCGGTATGGTTAGGCCAAGTTTGTGTCTTAGTCAGGACTAATCAACAGGGAAGGTCAAGTTTGTGTCTCAGTCTTGGCAGATCAACTAGCTCAAGTAAGGCCAAGTTCATAATATAATGTCTCAAGTCTTGATGGACCAACAAGTACAGCTGAATAAAATGTTGGACTGCTGGACTGACAGTTAAACACAGGCTTGGTGAAATGTATGTCTTAATCTGGATTTACCAACAGGCATATAGAATGGGTCAAATGTATGTCTCAATCTGGACATGCTTACAAATGCCTGACTATGGACATGCGCACATGTATAGATAAGGTCAAATTTATATACTGGTATCAATCTTCACTCTCAAATATGAATGGACTTGCCTACAGGTACAGGAGTGGCCAAAAATATTTTTTTGACTTTGTTTTGCGTTTTTTTTTTATATATGTATGAAATAAACAGACAGAGATTTCTTAACTGGGGTTGGGGCTACCTTCTAATGTATTAACAAACTGAATTACCTGTAAATAGATGGTACATGTAGTATAGACTGTATTAACTCTACAAATGTTCTTTTACAGCCCAAGTTCTGACTTCAAGACACTGAATGCCAACATGCCCTCGGTGTGGGTGAAGATCGTGTCCTCCTGGGTGTGTGTGGTCCTGTATCTCTGGACACTGATCGCTCCAATGGTACTCAGGAACAGGGAATTCAGTTAGAGCGACATCAGAAATGGGGGTTTCCCATTGTATGGACATAGAGAAGAATGGTTTTTACCATTCTATAAATAAAGATGGTCACTTGTTTTCATTTTGTTGTGTGTCAGCACATATGTGTTTGTTTAAATATGAACTTACAAAAAACTTTTCTTATTGGAAGAACAATGTAAATGGAAAATAATTTCATGTCTTAAAATTTATCATGTACAGAGAAACTTTAAATTGTCAGTTTGAATCCATTTGATATCTTGTACAGGAGTAGAACTTTGTGTTACTCAAGGACTTTGGATGTTTAATTGTAAATAATTCATTGTAAAAATCAGCATGTGACAATTAACTTAGAGAATATATTTCATCATTTTATTTTCTGATCAATATCAGCAGATTCATCATCTTTAGCTTTTGTAAACAAATTTCTGTCTTTACAATTTGATTAGGAATACGAATTCTTTTCATATCCTGTTCTTTTAACACTGATATTTTATTCAAATAATAACTTGGTCTTATTTCATTGGAATTTTCCATTCTGATGCTTTATTCTGTTTAAATGCCTAAGAACACTGTATGTCGTTAGATGTTGTAATTGCTTCTGTTCATAAATCTGTGATACTTTATCTGCATTAAAATCAGCCTTAAAAATATATTTTCTGTTAGTCTTTCCTTCAAGTTTAAAGTAAGTCTATCTGTATAAACGAAGGCTAACATTAAACCAGAAGTCTCTGTCGAGACTGTAGCTCTACTGGTTTGTACTTATATAACAAAGGAAGAGAAAAGTAGCAGTTGGGAATTGAAACTTCACAATAGCAACAAACAGAATAATGATCCTTGATTAAGTCTCTTTTTGTGGCAAGGTTGCAATAAGACTACAATGTACATGTAGGAGTAGCTTTGAATAAATTTTTACATTATTTTCAATTTTAGTTACCATGGCAACATCATTCATCAAAATGAAAAAAAATATGTATCTGTAGCCTACTTGCATGCCACATTATATCATAGTCAGAATTAAACTATTTAGAGTAGCATATTTAAAGTATTTCACAGAAATTTCTAGTAACCACAGCGACACCATATCATCAAAATCCAATAAATAGAATTCTGTAAATTATGTAGTCTTTTTGCATGCTAAGTCATATTGAAATACCAGAACTGTACAGGTTGAGACTAATCGCCCAAATGGGATATAATAGCCCATTTGGGATATAATATCCCAAATGGGATATAAAATTACAAATAAAAAAGTAAACATTTTTATCTTGGCTATAAGGTTCATAAATCCTCATCAAGATACTTATAAAGGAATAACTTATGGTTTACAAGTTTTTCTGTATTACCACTGTTCAAGAGATTGATCCCTCAGAAGTTCGTAAACTTCTTGGGGATCAATCTAACAACCTGTAGGGTTGCAGAAAAACTTCCTTGCCAAAAGTTACCATATACACTCACCTATAAGTAGGTATTTTGGGAGTTCAATTTATATCCAAAACTCTATGTCCGACTTATAGGCGAGTCATAAAAAGATTAGTAATTTTTTAGGGCCATATCATGTAGTATTTTATAAATGTTTCGGGCAATTATTGTGTATCATATATGTATTTGACCACATGAAAAAAGTGCAAGAATTTACATATTTTAATAACTTTCTTTTTATCTTAAGTGAGTATTCCTTTTTTTTGTTATGATTTAAAATCACACATTAGCTTATTTCTTAATTTCTAAATTCTTGAAATATTAATTTAAACAAGTTAAAAAATCAGAGGATTGATTTGAAATAGTGAACTTATTCTGGCAAAAAGTTGCACAGACTTAGAAGAGGGTCAATGGCAAATCCCTCCAAAATAACCTAAAAAAATACAACCGACTTATAGGCGAGTATATACAGTATTCAAGGGAATATCTGCTTTGTTGCAGAGATAAATATCTGCAAGTAACCTCTAGTTACTCTCTCATCCATTCTAATTACATTAATTACATTAAACCCACATCCATCATGATAGGTGACTAATGAATCATTAAAGTATTTGTATATAAAGAATTTTCTTTTAGTTTCTCTTAACTAAGGCAGATATATCTACCGGTACATCTGTTTATAAATGAGATAACTAAATATGCAAAATTATATGTTAAATTTATTGCACCTATAAAATTTAACAATTATATATATATAAAAAAAAGAAAACCACAATAAAAGATCAAATCAACAGAAACTCAAGTAGAATCCTGACATTAGTAACATTAAAGGAATGTTAGGAGGCAGCATTGTTTATAGCTGTTAGATTTTTCTCAAGGTCTTCATAATGTTTTGCCACAATATCTGCTTGTTCAGAAAATTCAGCATCCACTTGGTCACACGTTTCATACTGACGAGCCAAGAATTCTGTCCAATCACTTTTTCGTCGCTCACGTTCTTTTTCTATAAACTCTGTCTGCAGAACAAATAGAGAAAGTATTAAATAAATTTTAAACTGGTGGCACCTTTAACAGAATTCTACTAGAATATATTACAAATCTTGCACATGACACATGCACAACAAACTAAGATTACATTGATAGGATTTGACTATAACAGTTAATACAAAGTTTAATCCGATTGCAAATTTAAGATGACGGAGAAATAAAATCCTCTCGGCACTACTGCCCGATATGTCCTGGTCATAAGATATTGAACTCTGGGTTATTGTTTTGTTAATCATAGTATGAACCTACCTCTATCATATGCATGTATTTTCTCTTGAAATTGGAATTGAACAATTCCTAAGCCCTACTTATATGTCAGAGGTACATACAATTAAACTTTGTTTGATATTGCAAACTTAATGGTGCCAAGAAAAAATCTTGATACATGTATATCTAATGATTTGAGATATTGAGGGTATAATACTTATAGAATATGTGTTTAGGACTTCCAAATCACTTTGACATATCCAGGGTATTTGAGATATTGGTGATTGAGGGAAGTTCAACTGTATTTACATAAAATTAAATGTATTTGCACTTACATCTACTTTGTTTTCTTTTTCCTTGACTCTCTTACAAACCTCTGTTGCAACTTTTACTGCAAGATAAATAATAAATAATTCATGGTTACTGATTACGCCTCAGAGATTTCAAAGGAAATACGTGAAAATCAATTTGGTTTGTGTTTCACAATTAAATTACATTCTTAAGTGCTTCACTTAATTAATAACATTCAACTATGACATCTGATTTGTGCTTCACTGAATTACATTTGACTATGATACATGTATGCATTTGGCTGTATAATTTATGCCACCTTTAATCATGTTAATTACATTTGGCGGTGCTATTTATGTCAATTAATTACATTTGGCAGTGATATTTGCCAGAAAATGGTCCATTCCTTCCTTGGCCTCTGGTAAAAGGCCATCTTTCATTTCATTTATTTCTTCATCCAATTTCTTTAGTCTTTCTTTTTCATGGTTGCCTCTTTTTTCCTTTGTGAAAAAAAATATTTCACATAAATACATGTCCATGTAAAAAAAATTGTCCATGGGTCACAAAATTCCAAGAAAAGTTAAGCTAATAAGATTCCTGAGGAAGTATAGATTCTAAATTAATGGAATCATGATCCCTTAGTTAGATCGGATCACGAGATAAAAGTATGCTGTAAGATAAAAACAAGAGGCCCATGGGCCACATCGCTCACCTGAGAAGCTTTGACCATTCTGTTCTTTACCAGAATTCCCCCTTGTAATACATATTATGACTCCACCCTACCCCACTGATCATAATTTAGACAATTTGAAATCTGCACTACCCCAGGATGCTTCCACATAAGTTTCAGCTTTTCTGGCCCAGTGGTTCTTGAGAAGAAGATTTTTATAGATTTTTCCTTTATATTTCTATGTAAAGCTTTGATTCCCTATTGTGGCCCCGCCCAACCCCCGGGGGTCATGATCTGAATAATTGAGAATCTACACTACCCCAGGATGCTTCCACATAAGTTTCAGCTTTTCAGGCCCAGTGGTTCTTGAGAAGAAGATTTTTAAAGATTTTTCCTATATATTTCTTTGTAAAACTTTGATTCCCCATTGTGGCCCCGCCCAACCCCCGGGGGTCATGATTTGTACAACTGAGAATCTACACTACCCCAGGATGCTTCCAGATAAGTTTCAGCTTTTTTGGCCCAATGGTTCTTGAGAAGAAGATTTTCAAAGATTTTTCCTACATATTTCTATGTAAAACTTTAATTCCCCATTGTGGCCCCGCCCAACCCCTGGGGGTCATGATTTGAACAATTTAGAATTTACACTACCCCAGGATGCTTCCAGATAAGTTTCAGCTTTTTTGGCCCAATGGTTCTTGAGAAGAAGATTTTCAAAGATTTTTCCTACATATTTCTATGTAAAACTTTGATTCCCCATTGTGGCCCCGCCCAACCCCTGGGGGTCATGATTTAAACAATTTAAAATCTACACTACCCCAGTATGCTTCCACATAAGTTTCACCTTTTCCGGCTCAGTGGTTCTTGAGAAGAAGATTTTTTAATAACCCCACCCTATTTTTGTCTTTTCTTGATCATCTCCCCTTGTGAGGGGACTTGGCCCTTCATTTTAACAATTTAAATTCCCCTTTACCCAAAGATGCTTTGTACCAAGTTTGGTCAAAATTGGCACAGTGGTTCTTGAGAAGAAGTAGAAAATGTGAAAAGTTTACAGACGGACGGACGACGGACAAAATGTGATCAGAAAAGCTCACTTGAGCCTTTGGCTCAGGTGAGCTAAAAAGATTTAAAAAAAAACAAAATCTGCATAAATTATCCTGTTTACAATTTTCATTTCACTATTTTGACAATGATTTTCAGTGAAAATTATCACCATGTAAAAAAGTCAAGACTACTGCTTGGTCATTTCTTTCTCCTGTGTATATAATACAACCTATGTTTCCACCCAAATTTTCAGAAAGTAATTCAGGTGAGCATTTGACCAAATACATGTAATAATATGCATAATTACACACAATATTAATTCAGCAGTGGTATAAATAAGTTCTAATTCTGCAATTTTTCATACATTTAGGTTTGAAATAATACATCCAACACCTTGCTATGAAATGTGAATGTATGTAATTGTGTTTGTCATTTATTTTACTTACCTCAAACTCTTTTACAAAAAAATTAGTGTGGCCCTGCAGAACTGGTCGATGATCAAGTAACCTGGCATGAATTTCACTTAAATCTGAAAAGTATTTTATGAAAGAAATATAAATTAAAACAGTATGTGTTTGTGAAACACTGATGCCCCAATATCATGAATACGAAAGCTTTTTGTTAAGATTTGTTAAGTTTCTAAGAGACTTAGATGCAAGTCAAAGTCCAAGGTCAAAAGCTCGAGTTTATTGTTATCAATGGAAAGGACTTATGTAAATGAATATGCTTGTGAAATATAAGAAAAACTTGTCCAGACAATAACACAAAACATTTTGAAATAGACTTTTCAAATCTAATCATGAGGAAATGGCAAAGAGATAAAGTGCTTGCAACCAAAATTGTTGACCGGGAATTGAACCCGGGACTCCTGCATTACTAGTCAGTTGCTCTACCGACTGAGCTATCTCGCCACCAGCAATTGAACCTTGTCCAGCCAACTATTTTCTTCATGCATTCCTCCTTTCCTACTACATTTGGTGGCCAGTGTGTAAATAAGTAATTCCTGGCAGGGCCCTAGAACTTGTGTCTTCGAGGTCAAAGACTGTTTAAGGAGGGAGGAATGTAGAAGTTCGGGCTTAAGGGACCGTGGATATGGACCTGGATATATCTCAGTTGGTAGAGCACCTGACAGGAGATGCAAGGGTTGCGGGTTCGATTCCCGATCCAGCCATTCATCTTCTCCTTTCCTGTTACAGAATTGGTGCTGTTGACCACCCCTGGAATTGCAGGTGAGAGTCCTGCCAGGGGGTAATAAGAACTTGAGTTGTGTCTTCAAGGGTGAACACCATTTAAGGATTGAGGAATGTAATGGTGTGGGCTGTGGATATCAGCCTGGATAGCTCAGTTGTTAGAGCACCTGACTGGAGATGCAAGGGTCCCGGGTTCAATTCCCGGTCCAGCCATACATTTTCTCCTTTCCTGTTACAGATTTGGTGCCGTTGACCACCCCTGGAATTGCAGGTGAGAGTCCTGCCAGGGGGTAATAAGAACTTAGGTTGTGTATTCGAGGGCAAAGACCATTTTCAAGAGGGAGGATGTAGTGGTTTGGGCCATAGATATCAGCCTGGATAGCTCAGTTGGTAGAGCACCTGACTGGAGATGCAGGGGTCCCGGGTTCGATTCCCAGTCCAGCCATACATTTTTACCCTTCCTGTTACATAGTCAAGGTCATAACCTGAAAACCTTTTGACATCAGATTTCAAACCGGATTAAGACAAAAGAATCACTCTACCCAAATACTTGACCTTTACATCTTCCTTCTTCCAAAGTGTTTATGAAAAACATAACAATAAACCATAACTCCATGTCATTTTGACATGAAGATCACAAAGACCATTAGTTGAGATGCACAGAATTAGGAAATATGAATGGAACCAACAAGAATATAGACTTACTCTTGATATTAGCTTCTTCATAATTTAGCTTACACTCATTAATGTTATAGACGACTTTCACATTTACAAAAGTTATTCCCCTTAGCAGGGTTAATCCAGGGTCAATCGGCGTAAGACACTGTTTTCCCTCTATAACCTTACCAAATTTATGGGTCAGTATCTCAGAAATGAAATCTGTATGAATATTTTCATTACGTTTTTCATGTTGCCTCATATTCTGATAATACAGGTACAGATCAAGATTGTACGATAATGTTTGAAGATTAAAAATACTAAAAGGTAACTTACAAAGGACAAAGTGGGAAAAATGAGCGTTACCCCGACAATGGGAGATAAGTCTTCGGAATGTGAATTCATGAAGGGAAGACATATGTTTTGGGTAACAAAAAGAATATCCTTTATTTAACTTTTTAATCACTTTTATTCTATCTGTTTTAAATTTAATGAAAAAAATTGTACTTCTTTGAACCAAATTGTCCTTGGTTTTGGGCTTTTATCAGGTCCAGTACAATCACTAGATTTAGCTACGTAGGTAGAATTACCTACATAGCTTTATTTACCTACCTCAGGTAGCTTTATTTAGCTATTTCAATGCAACTTTTCAAAGTTTTTATTAAAAAGATACAAAAAGTCGTAATTCAATGACTATTAATATTTATACTACGGAGGTTTTTAAAAAACAACCCAAAGCAGAGATAGTTTATACATTGCTTCATTTGGACAATTTAAAGCAAAACATGTAATTCCATTGTTTGGATAACTGTCCTTGGCCCCTTACTCTTCCTGGTGTACATCAATGACATGCCAACCTGTATCCAGTCTCAATCCCGCTTGTTTCACAGATGACTGTCTTGTCTACCGGAGGATTAAGTCCATCGACGACTGTAAAGCCCTACAGGAAGACTTACAGAAACTCCAAGAGTGGGAGAGGAAATGGCACATGCAGTTCCATGCAGAGAAGTATGAGGTCATTACCATCTCCAATAGGCACAACCCAGTCCAATATGGCTACACCATCCAAGGCTACACCCTACAGCATGTTAACAATGCTAAGTACCTGGGAGTAACCATCAACAGGAAACTGTCTTGGAATACCCATGTGGACAGTGTTAATACCATTAGAAGGCGAATCAGACCCTAGACTTTCTCAGAAGAAACATCAATATGTGTAACAAGGAGACTAAAGAGCAGGCTTAAGACCTATGTCCACCCTACTTTAGAGTACACATCTACAGTCTGGGATCCCCACACTGCTTGTAACATCAATGCGGTTGAGATGGTACAACGACATGCTGATAGATTTGTGACTGGAACATACCATCGCACAAGTAACGTATCAACGATGCTGAACGCTCTTTCATGGGAAACCCTGAAACTCTGCAGAACAAGAGCAAAGGTCTTCATGCTCCACAGGATCCATCACTGTCTTGTTGACATCCCACCAGCAGAGTACCTGATACCCACTGGCAGTCGCACCCGAAGCCATACAACAAAGTTCCTCATCCCACATGCCAGATTACAACCCTATCAGTACTCCTTCTTCCCAAGCAGCATCAGGCTTTGGAACACCCTCCCGGCTGCAGTGTCCCAAAATTTTGCTTTGAAGCCCTTTAGCAAATATTTGAGCCAAAGGCTCAATAGTTTTGTCTTGATAATATCCTTTTTTCGACTAAACAATAATAAATAAGTCGTCGTATATGTCGTAGTTGTCGTTGTAAACTTTTCACATTTTCGATTTCTTCTCAAGAACCACTGGGCCAATTTCAACCAAACTTTGAACATAGTATCCTTAGGTGAAGGGGATTCAAGTTTGTTCAAATGAAGGGCCAAGCCCTTATTCAAGGGGAGATAATTAAGAAATAATGAAAATTTGATGGTATGTTTAAAAAATCTTCTTCTCAAGAACCACTGTGCTAGGAAAGAAGAAACTTATATGGAAGCATCCTCAGGTAGTGTAGATTCAAGTTTGTCAAATCATAATCCCTGGGTGTAGGGCGGGGCCAAAATGGCCGATCAAAGTTTTACATAGAAATTTATAGGAAAATTCTTTAAAAATCTTCTTCTCAAGAAAAGCAAAGGCATTTATATAATTATATATGTGAAGCATCCTGCAGTGGACATTTTTTTGTTCAAATAAAAGGGGTATAGTTCCACAACATGGAATCCAAGTTTTACATAGAAACATGTAGAAAAAATCTTTAAAATTCTTCTTTTCAAGAATAGCAAAGCCATGATTAGTCCTGTTTATATGGAAGCATTCTTGGGTAGTGTAGGTTCAATTTTGTTCAAGTCATGACCCCTTGGGGTATAGGGCGGGGCCACAATGTAAGTTCAAATGTGAAGGGCAATAAAGCCACAGGTATAAATCAAAAAAATATGCAAGCTTAGTTAATGACAATTCAAGTTTGTTCAAATCATACCATCTCCTTTTAAGGATTGGTTTAGACCACTACTGGGTTTAAGCTTTTCAATAATAAACCGATTTCTGCTTTTTTTTCCTATCCACAATTGCGATTTTTTGTCTCTTTTTAATAAAAAGCAAAATTTTGAAAAGTTACATCGAAATAGCTAAATAAAGCTACTTGAGGTAGGTAAATAAAGCTACGTAGGTATTTCTACCTACGTAGCTAAATTATTCAGTGATTGTACTGGACCTGATCACTATCAGCTTCAGAGTCTGAGCAGTTTAGGCCGATAAATGTCTGGTAAGTCTGCTCGACAGTTAAAATATCTGCATGCAATTTTATTCTGGTCAATTATTTTATAAACTTAATTGACAAAATGTACGTTCCACAAGCAATGAGAGGGAAAATACTTAACCTTTAAAAAGTTGTTGATCCATCTCGATCTCCGCCCATTTTTTCTCAAAGGTCCTTTCCAAGAAATGCTTTAAATTTCTCACCGACTTGTTCGTCATAAAAAGCGTTTCCGAGACCTGAAAGTAAAACCAAAAAAAATTAATGCGTATAATAAGTCATTCGGGACGTTGTTAAAATTTCAATTTCAATTTTATCACATTTATGACCCTTTAAGCAAATATTTACTAAAAATATAGATTATAATAGTTTTACCTTGATAATGTCCTTTTTTCGGTTGAAACTTTAATAAATCAAAGTAATGCAATATTTTCAACGTACAATTTAATAGGTAAAATGCACACTAGATGTCACACTAAATTTCATTTCCGCTTATGAATTCCAAAACATTGCAGAGTGTGACGGATGCAAATGCATCATTAAAAGTGATGGCAAGCCCTCAGAAAATGCAGCAATATATGGATCGACATAGGATCGGTCCGCTATTTGAGGTACAGTGGTAGCAATTTTATTATGCTCATTAGAATTGTTAAGAAAGAAAAGTTATGTACCAAACTTGTATGAACGTGTTGTTGGGTAAGCTAACTAGAATTTCCTCGATATATATACAGTTTTTACAATCATGAATGGGTGGCACTGTAACTCTCCGACCTGTCAATATATATTTTTTTGGAGAGCTACAGTTCTACAGCTAGGGTAAACAAATGGCAGGAAGTGTATAGTGATTAGATAGAATGTTCTGTGTTAAAATGATATTGTCCTATATACCCGGTTTAACGATAGGGAATAAAGTGACACTTGTATTCGTAATGTAGCAGAAAGAAACACGGGCGATAACTCGCATAGTGCATTTACTAGGAACAATCTAGAGAGTTCCGAATGTAGTAATTTGAACCGAGAGAAAAACGTTGATAAAATTAATTGGATTTTCGTATTTATATGGATTATTTTATGGGATAAAAGGCATAAGCAATCTCAAAAAGGTTTGTTTTGATTATTTTGGTAGTTATTCCCAGTGCAAATCATTTTATATTCTTCAAAAATCGTTTCAGCGGATGCTCCGATTTGCTACATTGCAAGTATATGGGACGTATTCTAACTGTGGTGAGGGCCTGTACCGAGACACAGTTAGATTATTCTAACTATATAGTGATAATCATAGATCAAGTTTGATTTTTTTTGTACCGTACTTTACGGATAATAGGTCGGGGTGTTGCTAAAACGCGGAACGGAAAACGGAACGGAAAGCGGAACGGAACGGAAAACGGAATATATTATTTTGGATTAAATCACTTAAAATACACAAAATTTATCATAAACGATATATATTTTGTACATATTCAATCCCCCACTATTAAATACAAGTTGATTTTATCATGCTCATAAGGCTCTTTTTTTACAAAAAAATAACATATAGCAGTCACCTAGAATCGAATTAAAAAAGGGGGGATAAACGAACTTGAAAAGTATTTGATAAGCAATAACACAAAAAGAAACAATTGTTTGATTCGGGAGGGGGGGATAAAACACAAAAAGAAAACAATTGTTTGATTCGGGAGGGGGGATAGGTTCCAATTCAAACATCTTGCAGTACTATTTTTTTACACTAACTTACTACATTAATTACATTCACAAAAAGTGTGAGGATGTCAACTTAAACGAACATTTCCATAGTAAAAAGGTTATGACTGGGGGATCAAATATTTGATATCTAAATGAACCATGAAAGAGAAATAAAATGTAAAAAAAAAATTATGATGATACGGTAAGGGCAAACCTTTATGGCAAGCTCGAAGAAACATCTCTTATTCACACTGGTTATTAAAATTTTATTCAAAATAGAGACATTTTCTATATATTTAAATTCTGGAAAGACAAAGTTGGAAAACTTTCATGTCATTCAGTGGAGTTAAATTTTGTTTGCGGTATATATGTGTGTATGTTTGGAGGGGGGGGGGGGTGTATATGAATGACCCCGTAAAAAATGAGTTTGTTTTCCCACTCATTGGAAAGGTCTGAAAAGTTGTAATAGGTATGTCCCCCTTTTTGTGTCAAAATTATACATAAAGTTTAATAAATCAATTTTTAATGTGACTGGGGGCCCCTAAATAGCAAAACAAACTGCCACTCCCCCTTTGTGCGAATTCGACACTGCGCGTGCATAATCTGAACATCATAAATAGTTATTTTTGTCTTTACAGACATTGACATTGGAAACAAATTGAAAGAAGGGGGGGGGGGGGGGGGGTAGTAACAATTTTCCAACATACAACAAATTTGACAAACCCCAAAAAAAGGGGGAAATGTCATTTGCCCAAACACGGAAATCCTATTTCGTGTGTGTGTGTGTGTGGGGGGGGGGGGGGGGGGGTCGAATTTCTTTCAGTACCATTTTTTTCACGGAAGTTGTGTATGACTCATGAATATATAATAGTTTACAATAGATTTTTATCAGAAATGATTTTTACAACAAGAATATTGCTTTTTATCTGATTTATATCGAATCTATGTTATTTGTTTGACAAAAATTTTTTTTTCCGTTCCGTTCCGCTTTCCGTTCCGTTTTCCGTTTTTTTTAGCAACACCCACTATGTTGATGGGATATATAGGTCGAAAGGCTCATTTTCAGCTTTATTTTTTGAAAAATCCTAAGATAGGACGAACTTACTATATAGGACGAGGCTTTGTTTCTGGATGGTTTGCACAAGATTCTGGGTTTAGAGGTTACTGGTGAAATATGTCAGGTAGATAATTTTTAATTCAGAATTTGACTTTTTATTAATATCATAAGCATTTAGGACTCCTCTTGTGCCTCACACTATCAAAAGATGTGGATGGTGGTAATTTATTTTTTGCTTATAAATTCTTGTGTTCAAAATTCCAATTATTCCTTTGAATTCTGATTTACAAATTTACTTTGTGGGCATATCCAAAACTAGAGAGACTTTTTTCAGTGACTGATATGTAATGCAATATATGCAAGAAAATTTTTTTATTCTAAAGCCTTGACATATACCATTTTATTTGTATGATAGAACATTTTGATGTCTGGATTAATCACCATCATTCATCTTAAATTTATTACTTGACGAAGTTCAAATCTGATGTCAACTTCCTGTTTGTCTATGCGTCTGTCCGTTTCATATATAACAAATCTTCGTTGCAGTTTTCTTAGTAAGTAACTACTCATCTCAGATGCTTGAAATTTTATCACAATCTTTTCTGAGGCATGCCATACAGTCGGATACATTTTTGGTCAAATCTGATGTCAACTTCCTGTTTATCTGTGCATCTGGCCATTTCATATATAACAAATCTTCATTGCAGTTTTCTCAGCAACTACTCATCTCAGATGCTTGAAATTTTAACACAATCTTTTCTGAGGCATGCCATACGGTCGGATACATTTTTGGTCAAATCCGATGTCAACTTTCTATTTGTCTGTGCATCCGTCTGTTTCATACATAACAAATTTTCGTCACAGTTTTCTCATTAACTATTCATAGTAGATGGTCGAAATTATATTACACTCTTTGTTGAGGCATGCCATATGGTGGGATTAATTTTGATATGAATCTGATGTCAACTTCATATTTTTCTGTGCATCTGCCTAATTGAACTTGTGTATATTTTAAAGATGATAGTGTTTATTTACATCAGAGCGGGGGTATTACTAGTGAGCATTGGCTCACAGATTTCTTGTTGTCCTCACTTTGACATGGCATGATTCTCCATTGCTGCATGCTCTCTGTCACTTGCTAGATACATTAATAATATATAAGTTTATAACAATTAATTTTTCAGAATCTCATGAACAAAGTTCTCCATGATCAGCCTGATGACCCTCTGGTATATCTAATTAAAGTTCTGCATAAGAAGGCAGGTTTAGAGGCCCCCAGGGACCTAAAGACCCAGGGAGTCAGAAGGAGCTCCCCAGAAAGAATTGGTAATGTTCAGAATGGGTAATGTTCTGACAGAATGGATAATGTTCAGAATGGGTAATGTTCAGAATGGGTAATGTTCAGAATGGGTAATGTTCAGAATGGATAATGTTCAGAATAGGTAATGTTCAGAATGGGTAATGTTCAATTGGGGTAATGTGCAGAATGGGCAATTTTCAGATTGGGTAGTGTTTAGAATGGGTAATTAATACTCAGAATGGGTTGTGTCAGAATGGGTAATGTTCAGAATGGATAATGTTCAGAGTGGGTAATGTTCTGAATGGATAATATTCAGAATGGGTAATGTTCTGACTTCTGACAGAATGGATAATGTTCAGAATGGGTTATGTTCAGAATAAATAGTGTTCAGAATGGGTAATGTTCAGAAGCGGTAATGTTCAGAAAGATTGGATAATATTCAGAATAGGAAATGCTCAGAATGGGTAGTGTTCAGAATGGGTAATGTTCAGAATAGGTAATGTTCAGAATGGTTAATGTTCAGAAAGGAATATGTTTAGAATGGGTTATGTTCAGAATGGGTAATGTTCAAATTTCGTAATGTTCAGAAAGGGTAATGTTTAGAATGGGTTATGTTCAGAATGGGTTGTGTATAGAATGGGTTATGTTCGGTATGGGTAATGTTCAGAATAACTTAGTGTTATGGTTATTTACCTTTATCTCATTAATAAACACCTAGTTAATGTTTTTATGAAATACTATACTAAGTCTATACAATTGTAGTATCATGTCCTATTCCTTACATCTTGTGTTTCTTTTTTCAATCGTAAACTGGTACGCAAATTTTTACAGTAAGAAGTAGAAGTCCCGAGATGAAGAAACCGACACAAACATGGGGCTCCTCTCCACTTGGTTGGTATTTATTTCTAAACTCTTATCCATATTTATTCAGAAAAATTGTATTGGATTGGGCAGCCAACAATTTCTATAAATATCCTCTCCATACAAAATACTAATACTGTACTTATTTAACTGTGATAAGAATTAAGAGCATATTTTATGTAGCATATGTTGAATGTTTTTTTGGAGTTTAATTATATGTAATGAAAAATTGTATTTTCATTATATCTCACAAAATACAAAATGGCCATGGAAGTCTAAGAATTACTGGAATGATGGCAGTTTTTAGGGAGCATTTAGAGCTCCTGTTTTTCTAATAAAAAAATGCAAGTAGCTTTAGAAAAGAAAATAATCCCATGAAGATGAATATAAAAGTATTTTCACATAGTAATGTTTAAATTTTTTCTTCTTTAAAGTTTGGCACCTTAGCAGTGTATAAGCGAGGTTCAGAGTGTTATCTGGCAATACATCTAAACTGTATAGATGAGAAAACTGTCATAAAATGAAATAAGACCATTGGGTCTGTTGTTTTTTAGAAATGTTTGAAATGATAAATATACAATGTAGAAGGTTGATGTCTTGCTTTGTTTTAGGAGAAGTGGAGCGGTCCTATGACAAACCCTGGTTATCCAGCAGTAAGAAAGTCAAACCCAAGTCTGAAGATTTCTCAGCCACCAAACAAGGTTAGAATAAGAAATCATTATCAAAATGTATTAAAATGTCTCATTTATATCCACCATCAGGTAATCACACTGAAATGAAGATGCCCCTTTGTAGACATATAAACGACTACACTATTTTGGACTGATATGAAATGTTCTAATTTTTTAACAAATTTTGGAAAATATCCTCATGTGCATATTTAGATTTCAAATTTTCAATCATATTCAAAAAAAAAAAAATCCCAATCCCAATTATAACTCAAAATATCACGGATCCCAATTATATATCTCAAAAAATCCCAATCCCAATCAAATCTCAAAAGATCTTAATCCCAATTACAACTCAAAAGATCACAATCCTAATTACCAGTATATCTCAAAAGATTAAAAAGATATGAAATGTAAGAATTTATTCTACAAATCTTATCTGGGCGATAGCAGTGCAACACTTGAGATGACATGTGGAGCATCAGATTGCTAGTAACATTTTATATGTCCAGATCCTATCGTATTTCCTATCAACACAAAGGAAATGATAGGATTAGGATGGGAAACAAAACATCACATATCCAGTTCCTTTCAGCTCCTTCTGACCCACTGTGTGTGATGACTAACCAACATGGAGCAATAAGGAAGCCTCCAGGTCCCTCCCTTAGGTCCCTAAAAACTACTCCATTTAAGCCTGATCTAGATAAACTTCAGGAGGTGTTATGTATTGAACAGAAACCAATCATGACAGGTTATTTTAGAAATCTTAGCATGAGGCCTTGGTGATAGAGTCAAAGGAATGGTATATTATCTGGTATATGTTCTGTTTTGAATTGTCATGTAAGATATATAGAATTTAATGTGTTTCATAACATGTTTGTTTTGCTGACAGCTATGTACATTAATCAAGCATCATACACAAAAAAAAATTCAGGGAAAATGAGAATGAAAAAAAAAATTGATAGTGAATGCTTTCATTTTGTACTTAGAAACACTGTTGTACATCTTGTCCATAAATGTTGAAATTTTGTTTTCATAATCTGCTGTTTTATAAGTAAATTTTGACATTTTAAATTACTTGACAAATTTTTACCATATGCTATTACAATACAAAAATAAGTTATCCCTGACAATTGTTTTATTCACTCCCAATAAGAACCAATCAATCTTCATTATGAAAAGACAAAAATGATTATTTTGTAAGATTAAGATGCAGGATTGGATATTTTTAATGGTGTTTCCCTTCGGCAGAGGGACTACATGTAATTCCAGTTTTTGGCTTATGTGCTGCTGATAGATACAATTTCCTTTAAAAATAGGATTGACGATTTTATTTTCTCTTGTTAACTCCTCCAAATATATATCTTTTCTTGACTAATTTAAATAATAATATATAAAAATTGCAGTGTAACATTGAAAATTTTCACCCCAAGAAAACCATTGGCAACCGAGGCGCAGCTTTTAACATAAGGAAAAATTCACATTCATAAAAAAAGTGTGTGAATGGGGCTGGTCCCCTGCAGTCCCCTACCTCCCCACAACCACGTACCCCAGCTTCTGTGTGCCCGAATGATATGTTCACCTGAGTGGAGGTCAGGTGCATCTGAAGTAACTTTTCAAAATATATTTTAAAATATTACTTTGGAATTTCCCAGTTTGTTTTAGTCCAATGGAAAAAAAATCTGATATTCATTGAGCAGGTCACTTGGAGGTTGGTTTACCTAACTAGGTGATAAGTATATTTTTTCATTGTTGGATCTCAGCCAATCAAAGAGATGGGAATTATGCCTAGGTCACATTTAAGCCGATAGTCAGGTGACCAAATTTTTCTGGCATTGTCAGCTGGTATAGATATAGATCTATATTCAAATAGGTAACCTTAGTAATCTTTGCAAGGTTAAGTGGGAGAATGTCACAATGTTATAAATGTGTGCAAAATTTTGTAAAGTCTAAATAGGAAACAACACAAAAGGGTGCATCTAAGCAGCAAAGAAAACTTAAGATTTCTTAATATTTTATGGATTTATTATTTGTCATTTCCATTAAAAAAATATACATCAATTCATGCATCAAAATTTTGTGTTATATCCTTAATTGGTAAGATATATACAATTTGGCCAATAGTCAGCCGATCATCGTGCTCTGAGCTACAGTTTAATTTTAACCATCCGCCGAAATTCTGGAAAGCCCTTATTGTCAACTGACGCACGACCAACTTTATAAACTGACTGCCAATGGTGGGACAATGATAGAAAGGATCGATGAGTCTACAGATCAATTCAATTGAAGAAATCAGCCACAGACGCAGAAAAAATTATAACTTGGACTGATGAACACAAAATTAGCTTGCCTACAAATAATTGAGCTGATGAATTGTCAACTATCACCCGAAGAATCCTACTTTTGCTTCAAAAACCGTTGTCTGTTGGTTGTTTTTTAAAATGTGACTGCATGGGTTTTACTGTAAATCACATTATATTCACAAGATTTTTATTTTCGCATATTACGCAAAACAATAGGAGGAGGTTCATTATATGTAATTTTATATAAAACATGCTTAATTAAATCCCACATCTGTTTGATATCTGCCATCTGGATAACTGTTATGACATCAGAGAAAGACATTTACAGGTGACAATTGGATATAACAAACGTGCACTGCTTTACGTCATGTCTAAAACAACACGTTTTGCTGATTTAAAGCCTTAAATAATCTTCCAGTTATAAAACACAATAAATCTAAATAATTTCTTTGCTGTGTCAATTTAAAAGGAAGCAAAATGACATTGGAAATGAAAAACAAAATATGTTTTACCACTCTAAATATATTTATAATTTCTATTTATAGAATATTATAAATTAAAAGAATTTCTTTTTTGTTGGTGCTAATTTAAAAGGAAGTGAAATGATATTAGAGGTACATTGTATTTGATTCTTCAGCATTAAATATATAACACTAAAGAATGGCATCCCAATCTGTTTGTCTTCCTCTCTTTTTAGCTCTACCGGTCAGAGACCAGAAGAGCTTATGCTATAGTAATGCGTCCGTCCGTCTGTCTGTCTGTCTGTAAACAATTTTTAGCTCACCTCAATGAAGTTGGGGGAGCTTATGTGATACCCTCGGCGTCGATGTCGGCGTCGGCGTCCCGGGTTAAGGTTAAGTTTTTTGGAGCAGTTTTCTTTTTAAGTACTTCTATGTGCTATATTGATTAGACATGCATGGAAGATGTTTCTAATGTGTTTCATTGTACCAGTCAAAGTTTCAGATGCTGCAATTTCAGCAAAGGAATGACCAGGTTAATGTTTTTGGTGCAGGTTAACATTTTTGGTGCAGTTTTTGGTGTAGGTCTCATTTCCGAGTAACTATAAGCCCTATGTTGACCAAACTTACATGGATGGTACATCTTAGGATGCATACTACCAGACTTGCTTCGGATGCTGAATCTGACCTACATTTTCCGGTTGAGTGAACAGGTTAAAGTTTTTGGTGCAGGTTTCATTTCGAAGATACTATGAGCCCTATAATGTCCAAACTTGCATGGATGGTACATCTTAGGATGCATTCTACTAGACTTGCTTCGCATGCTGAATCTGACCTACATTTTCCGGTTGAGTGAACAGGTTAAAATTTTTGGTGCAGGTTTCATTTCTAAGGTACTATGAACCCTATAATGACTAAACTTGCCTGGATGGTACATCTTAGGATGCATACTACCAGACTTGCTTCGGATGCTGAATCTGACCTACATTTTCTGGACGAGTAAACAGGTTAAAGTTTATGGTGCAGGATTCATTTCCAAGTAACTTTGAGCCCTATAATGACCAAACTTGCATGGATGGTACATCTAAGGGTGCATTCTACTAGGCTGGCTTCAGAAGCTGAATCTGACCTACATTTTCCAGATTAGTGAAAAGGTTAGTTTTTTTATACAGGTTTCATTTCAAAGTAACTTTGAGCTCTATGTTGAACAAACTTGCATGGATGATACATTTTAGGATGCACACTAATGGACTTACTTCAGATGCTGAATTCGACATACATTTTCCAGATAATAGACCTCGTAAAAGTTATGGGTGCAGGTCTATCACCAAGAAACTATAAGGCTTATATAAACCAAAGTTGCACAAATGATGCATCAAGGGATGAAAACTCTCAATCTTGCTTCAGATGCTAGATTTTAATTACATTTCATGATGAAGAACTAGTTTTAAGTTTTTATATAGGTCTATTCCAAAAGTATCAAAATTGCATAAATTTTGCATTTTTGGATGTACACTTTTTGTTGGTTAATTGTGTGACTTGATTTGCCTTACTTAAAGACAACATTCGTTAAGGTGAGCTCTGTAATCTCTGATTACCTATGTTTCAAAATGCTACTCCTCCTACAGTTTTGGTCCGATTTCAATATAGCTTGGCACACATGTAGACTACACTAAGATACATAATTCTAAGCATCGATTTTTGATTTTGATGAACGGTGTTGCCATGGTTACTAAAAATATAATTTTTTGTGAAATTCTTTCAAAATGCTACTCCTCCTACAGTTTTGGTCCGATTTCAATATAGCTTGGCACACAAGTAGACTACACTAAGATACATAATTCTGTGCATCGGTTTTTGATTTTGATGAACGATGTTGCCATGGTTACTAAAAATAGAAATTTCTGTGAAATTCTTTCAAAATGCTACTACTCCTACAGTTTTGGTCCAATTTCAGTATAACTTGGCACACAAGTAGACTATACTAAGATATATAATTCTGTGCATCGGTTTTTATTTTCAAGAGGGACAAGGATCATTTTATCTATTTATTGCTGTTTTAAAGTTTCAAGTCCCAACTGCAACTTTTGTCTTCCTTTGTTTAAAGTATAAACCAGTAGAGCTACAGTCTTGACAGAGACTTCTGGTTAATTTTAAAGCATGCTACCTGTAGCTTATAGCAAACCAAAAGGGTTTTTGGGCTCAACTCAAAATGTTGTTTGGGGAGGGTTTATGTAATACCCTTAGTGTTGGCATCACAAGTTCAAGTTCTTTGCATTAGTACCTGTCTATGTCCTATGTTAATCAAAAATGCATTGACAAATTTTGGTAGAATTCTTGGAACAGGTCTCTTTTCTAGGTAACTCTAAGCCCCATTTTGACCAAACTTGCATGGATGATACTGTAGATCACTTAATTTTCGCAACACCTTATTTTCGCGAGATAGTCATTGACTCTTTATTAGCGAGACAAAATTTTCACGAATTGTGGTCATTGCTGTATATAATCTTAAAGATTTCTATTATAGGCGAGAATGAAATTTTCCCGAGCATATCGTCTCGCGTAATTACGCGAAAATAAAGTTCTCGCGAATAAAAAGTGATTTACAGTACATCTGGATGCTCACTACAAAGTTTCAGATGCTTTTTCTCTACATCTTTTTAATACTGTGAAATCACTAATTTAGTGGGGGTTAGTTTTTGTGGCTTGTCTATGGGAAGGTATGAAGAGACCCACAAATTTATATTCACCACGAAATCCAATTTTTCACATACATTACTACTGAACAGTTCTTCAACCATGAAATCAAATCCCCATGAACCAATATGTTTTCCTCAAACCACGAAAATTTGACTCCTCAATATTAATTGAATTTTAGGATGCATAATATTGAACTTGTTTCGGATGCTGGATCTGGAGATCTGACCTAAATTTTCTGGATGAGTGATCAGGTTAAAATTTTTGGAGCAGACTCATTCTAAATTAACTAAAAGCTCTATGCTAACCAACTTTGCATTGAAGCTACCTTTATTGATGAAAGCTACTGAAATATACATTTTTTAAGACAAATGACCAGATGAAAGTTTTTGGAGCAGTTACATTACAAAGAAACTATAAGGCCTTCTTATGTATTATATAGATATTAGTTGCATGCAACAGTTTTGTTGACACATGAGAATGTTTCAGGATAGAGTACCATATAAACTAGGGATGGCAATTTGTAACCTGTTAATCGATTAATCGGTCGGAACGATCCTAATTGGTTAGTAAATCAGTAATCGGTCCGAAAAAATAAAATATATTTAAATTTGAACGCAATTTCCTTAAAATCTCTTTTTTTTTTTTTTTTTTTAGAAAGGAAACCCCTGCATAGATGTTTATTTAGTGTTTTTACACATCTTATAATTATTACAAATATTTGGAGGTAATTATAGCTATCTGGACTGAGATCGCAGGGGTATAATTGGTCAGTTCGTGAAGTGTTAATTACTGTTTTTAAAACATCAGATAGTCCTGTGTTTTTAAAGATATTTAAAAATAAGCACTTTTAATTATAGTATGTCTACATTTTGCCGTTTTCTGTGAAATTATATTATTAAAAAGAACGTTTTAAATTGTAAATAAAGTGAGAGTTCAGACATACACTAGTTCTGATAATGGTGACAATGCACAATTAACTTCTTTTACATCTGCGTTGAAAAATTATCCCTGTCTGATTTCTCAAGCAAGATTCATGGTTTTCTTAACTTTTTCTTGTCTATTGAAATTAAAATAAAATATACTCTTATGTAAATAAAATTCCCCGATCAAAATGACAAGAGGCCCATGGGCCACATCGCTCACCTGAGCACTGTGGCTAGGAAAAAGTAGAAATTGGTTTATAATAATTATTGAATAGTTTAAATCCAAAAGTAGTCCCAAGACCAATCATGGCTTTGCTATTCTTGATAAGATGATTTTTAAAGAATTTTCCTATATATGTCTATGTAAAACTTTGATTGGCCATTGTGGCCCCGCCCTACCACTGGGGGTCATAATTTGAACAAACTTGAATCCTCACTACCTGAGGATGCTTCCATACAAATATATGATCAATTATGGCTTTGTTATTGTTGAGAAGAAGATTTTAAAGGAATTTTCCTATATATTTCTATGTAAAACTTTGGTTGGCCATTGTGGCCCCGCCCTACTCCCGGGGGTCATGATTTGAACAAACTTGAATCTACACCACCTGAGGATGCTTCCATATAAATATGATCTATCATGGCTTTGTTATTCTTGAGAAGAAGATTTTTAAAGAATTTTCCTATATATTTCTATATATGTAAAACTTTGGTCGGCTATTGTGGCCCCGCCCTACCCCCGGGGGTCATGATTTGAACAAACTTGAATCTACACCACCTGAGGATGCTTCCATGTAAATATGATCAATTATGGCTTTGTTATTCTTGATAAGATGATTTTTAAAGAATTTTCCTATATATTTCTATGTAAAACTTTGGTCTGCCATTGTGGCCCAACCCTACCCCCGGGGGTCATGATTTGTACAAACTTGAATTTACACTACCTGAGGATGCTTCCATATAAATATGATCAATTATGGCTTTGTTATTCTTGAGAAGAAGATTTTTAAAGAATTTTCCTATATATTTCTCACTCTCTACCATCGGCACATACATTCACCTCTGTTGTCGGCTTGCGTATATCACAGTGTTAAACACGAGAAATAGTGCATTTGTTTTAATTCATTATAATTCAATTTCTATGCTTATGTCTGACTTTTGAGATGGATATTTAATAAATCAATCCAGAACTATTAATTTTTTCCTATATATTTCTATGTAAAACTTTGGTCGGCCATTGTGGCCCCGCCCTACCCCGGGGGGTCATGATTTGTACAAACTTAAATCTACACTACCTGAGGATGTTTCCCCATAAGTCTCATCTTTCCTGGCACAGTGGTTCTTGAGAAGAAGATTTTTAAAACATACCGCCAAATTTTCATTAATTCCCAATTATCTCCCCTTGAATGAGGGCGTGGCCTTTCATTTGAACAAACTTGAATCCTCTTCACCTAAGGATGCTTTGTGGCAAGTTTGGTTGAAATTGGCCCAGCAGTTCTTGAGAAGAAGTAGAAAATGTGAAAAGTTTACAACGACGACGACAACGACGACACCGACGACGAAAACGAGAGACAACGGACAAATTGTGATTTGAAAAGCTCACTTGAGCCTTTGGCTCAGGTGAACTAAAAAGCAGAATGTAATTCTTACGTCTTTTTTTAGCCTCTTATGTATATGAAAAGAAAATGTCAAAATGTATATCTTGATACGACTAACCGATTAATCGGTCGGAACGTTTTGTGGTTAACCGATTAGCAATTCTGCAATCGATTGCCATCCCTAGTATAAACAGATTTTTTAGCAAGGATTTATTTTGGCATTATTAGCAAGGGTGCTGATATCACTAAAATTGAATATCGCTAAAAATTTATAGTGTTTTAGTTGTAATAGCTTGTTTAGTTAGTATTTCAAAATCGCTAAAATTACTTCTCGCTAAAATTAAAATACCTGTATTTAAGGACAAATCGCTAAATTTGCATCTCGCTAAAATTTCCACTTATGTGGTATTTTAAGAGGAGTTGCATGCATTTCTCATAAGCAGTAAATTTGAAATTGACAATGCTATTAATCGTGTTGATACTGTCAAACACCTCCTAACTTGTATGCTAGCAAAATTTACCAAATGCTTCATTCAGAGTGTAGTGTTATAGATTAAACTAAAAGGAAAATAAAAAAAAATTAACTAATATACATGACTGTACTGACCGTCATTAAGTAATAAGTTCATACACTTGATACAAATACTTAAAAATAAAATTTAAACATCACCAGGTTCATGTTAATGGGACATATTAAGAAGTCTTTCAAAATCATTGATCATTGAAGGCAGAAATAGTCGTAAGCCGTTAGCACAAATTATCTGGTGTATTTACAGGAAGAAAGCAGCCCAAACAGAGCTGGAATCCAGACACTAAGGTGGGGAAGACCAGCTTTGATGATTTGTTTGATGGAAATTCAGAGGAGACGAAAAATATACCAAAGAAGAGAGAAGGGGTAACAGATGCAAAGCATACCTGGGCCACAGTAGGGCTAGGGGTAAGTCTTGAGCCCCTGAGTAGGGTAAGGGGTAAGTTTGCCTGGGCCACTGAGAAGGACTAGGGATAAGTTTATCTGGGTCACAGTTGCCAAGGGATAAGTTTGCCTGGGCCACTGAGTAGGGCTAGGGAAAGTTTGCCTGGGCCACTTAGGGCTAGGAGTATTAGTTTGCCTGGGCTACTGAGTAGAGCTAGGGTAAGTTTACGTGGGCCACTGAGTATGGCTAGGAGTATGTTTACCTGGGCCACAGTAGGGCTAGGGATAACTTTACCTGGGCTACACTAGGGCTCGGGATAAGCTTGCCTGGGCCACTGAGTAGGACTAGGTATAAGTTTATCTGAGCCACAGTTGGACTAGGGGTAAACATATTTGGGCCACAGTAGGCTAGAGCAAAGTTTATCTGGGCCACTGAGTAGGGCTAAGGGTAAGTTTACTTGGGCCACAGTAGGGCTATGGATAAGTTTATCTGGGCCACATTAGGTCTAGGGATAAGTTTACCTTGGCCACTGAGTAGGGCTAGGGTTAAATTTACATGAGCCTTAGTAGTACTAGGAATAATGAGAATGAAGTTTTCAAAAGCAAACCATCCTGTGTAGTTATACGAAAATAAAGTTCTTGTGAATCAAATAAAAAGTGAGTTAGAGTACCTGTCAGTCATTTATTTCAACAAATGATGCTGGCATAGTTTTATTTAAAAGATATCTGCAGAACTCTTTCTAAAAAGATATGAAGTTTGTAGCATATGAATCAGGGAATTTATGGATTATTTTATGTTTCTAATTCATTGTAGGGTGATGAGGACAGCTTTACAAGTGGGATATATAGAGGGCCAAAAACTCTCCTCAATGAGGATGATCCTTTGGCAGGGGAACTAATGAACAGCAAAACTGAAGGCAGCGATAAAACAGACGAGGGTCTTGTCAGGTATAAAAGGATCAGGAAAAATATAGAACTGTTAAACACACTTGTTGCTTCCCATACTAAATTTGTTTTTCAATATGAATATTCATGTGTAAAATTCAGATAAAGAAACAATGATTGATAGAATGAAATAAGAAATTTATCTATTGTATATACTTATATATTAGATAAAGGGTGGAAAAAATAGGTAATTTTATTTGTTTCTGTCTTTATTCACTCCCTTGCCTTGGTATATAGTAGGGATGTCAACGAATATTCGAATATTCATTCGATGAGTTGATATTCGAATATAAATTCATGATTCGAATATTCGGATTTTAAGTATACAAGCATAAAAAAAAAAATCTGGCAAAAACTGAAGTTTTATCAGAAATTGAATCAAATTCTCGTCGTTAACCAATAATAAGATTTTATTTAAAACAAAATTAAAATACACTCCTCTTGGATTACCTTAAAGGTGTGAAGAATGTGTCTATTAAAATGATATAATTTATTCATTTGATCATTTAATTAGAGATATAACAGTGTCCAGTACTTATAATTAGTTTGTATTGTTGAAAGGAGACATTTTTGTTTATTCATACATCATTTAAAATCACTATCAGGAAATTAATTAGCTAAAAGTAATTGCTTTTAATCTTTCTCCATTAGATAATTGTTCTGTGTGGTATAAATCTGTAGGGTTATCAGTGTACACTTTGGTAAGATGATTAATTAATCTGTAACTTATTAACCCCTTCACTTCCGTACCGGTCAAATTGACCGGTGGCGCGTTAAAACACGACTTCGCGAAAATAAGATCTCCGTATCTATTTTGTGGTAGCATGAAGGTATATAAGCTATATATCATCTTTTTGGAAATTTTCTCTACTTTTAAAATATCTAAAAAGATTATATCTTGATTGCCGGTATTCAATCGATTTTACGTTGTAAAGACAAACGAGACTTTTTGAAAATGGCGTAATTTTCCAAAGCGATTGCCGATTTTCCAGACGATTGACAATTTTTTTCCTGATTAACTTTATAAGAAAGCATGGTATATTCTTAAAGCATATTTTCTCTACTTTTAGAATATGTAAAAATTATTGTTATTACTTTAAGGTATATTTTAAAAACAAGAATTTTCTTGCACTTATGTGTTTTTTCTCGATTTTATTCGTAATATTTAAACAAAGCTCAGTTTTACGTTTATTTCTGTGTTGAAATAGGGAAAACAAGATAAAGCTGGTAAAAGTAGAGAAAATTTCCTTTCCAACAAGCCCTTATAGGCCTTCTTACGCTCAGTATTTTCTTAATTACGATAATTTGAATTTGTGACCTTCGCATAGTTTTTATGGAAAAATCGGTCAATATTTACATGTAACGTCAAGGTCGATATTGTTGCGTCTTACTCGAAACAACAAATTCTTTTATAAGACTTTTTTGACCATTTAAATATAAATGCATAATACAAAAAAAAAAAAAAAAATAGATTTCAAAAAACAAATTATACTTTCGTTCTGCCTTCTGTGTTCAGTGAATGTTGATTTATTCATCTACATGTAGGCCCTAATGATGTATTTTTCATGAAGTGATATAATACAATATTGATAAAAATTGTAGATTTCCAAAACGTCGATCTGTACTAAAAAAAAAATCAATCAGATTTTTAATATTGTTGTATCTTGTTATAATGTATACTTATTAATTTGCAATTTAATTAGATCTATATATATTTAACAATACAAAAACTCATAATTTATAAATAAATACGACTCATCACTGTACGAGTTGATACGAATTGACAGAAACACGTGTTTCCGGTGTGATAGCTGTAAACAAAAACATGATCCGAAATCTGAACGTCAATTTTCATGATTATTTCACGACGAAGATCCTCACATCAATGAATCAAATAATACGGACATGCCTTTGGTATTAGCAGGTAAGAATACGTGTATATTGACTGAAAAGTTTAAGTTTAAAACGCATTAGTTCACGTTCAAAAGAAAACTAAATGTACACATGTACTAGACCTTTATGTTTCAGTGTGCGTGTTTCGTATCGTTCAGCCAATTTTGCATTGTTTTTTAACTTTGATGCTTTTGACAATCACTCGTAAGTTCAAAGTAAAATCAAAGTTGTCATAATAATGGAAAGTTGTTTTCAGTATCTATGTACCAGTGTGTACATGTACAACTTTCACATTGAAATTTTAGGGTGCTTTCACCATATGCAACGATACTTTCATCTGTGAATACCCACTTTCTAAGCCCACCATGAACTACGAAGGTCAATTAATATGTAAGGACACCAATGAACAGGTAAATTTTTGTTTTGGTATTGAAAATTTCTGTATTTCTAAAATTTCAAAAAATAAAGTCTCATGATATCGCATTCACACAAGTTTATAAATTGATTTATATTTTGAAAAATAAGTGTTTTAAACACATAATACTTATAATGCTTGATTATTTATACAGACACATTATTTAAACATGTAATATCTATCTGAATGAATGCCGAGATATGGAACAAGCTGTTTTTATAGACTGCTGTTGTATTTCCAATCTGCATGAAGTATGTGGTTGGCATTTCCATTTTCTCAATTTTTTAGACACTTTCCAATTATGGTACATCATATACATGGGTGGTCAAACTCACTGGATGGTTTATCAACACTCCCATGCTAACGAACAGGCTTGCCCCAGGAATTTTGCCCTGAAGTAACATTGCAGTCTATTGTCTCCTTTCTTTTTACAACCCTGGCAGCCATGCAGGTATGAAATCTATGAAAGCCATGAAGGGACATAGAATTTTTAAAATTTATAAAAGTAAACCGAGTTCTTGATTTATACAATCCGTTCTCTTGGATTGACAATCTGTTATAACAAATTGCCAATTCATTCTCACAGATTATCAATTCGTTCCCTCAAATTACACAATCCGTTATCTCAGATTGTATAATTCATTCTCTTAGTTTAAATCAAATTAAATGATTCATTCCCTCGGAATGTAAACCCTTCCCATGATTTCATTTAATTTATTTATCTGTACATATCGGATATGGTAATACATGTTTAAAAAATAGAATATTGTAGTATTTTACATCCTAACTTTTATTACATATTACGGTCCAAAATGAGAAAAATACATGAACATTTTCAAATCCATGTGCTAGTACTGATATTTGTACAACAAAAAATCTTAGAGGTTTTTAATTGTGTTACTTGTATATTAGAATAATTGAAAGTCCTTGATAGTAAAAGTGAATATGGGTCCTGTGTAATCATAATATTTCTAAAATAAATATACGTTGAATTAGTAATGAAAGAGGTTGGAAACGACCGGTTGCTGAAATAAAATAAATAGAACGCACTTATTGATTAAATGGTTGGATATATCTGTACATATATGTAATGAAATTCAAGAGCACAGATTTCCAAAATCATAAGACTGACGTTGTAACAAATCGAGATGTTGAATTATCAATCTATGAAAACAAATTACCGGTATGTAATTCGAGATCTCAAATTATGAATCAAGGGGTCGAATTAGTAATCCTTAAGATCGGATTGTGTAATTCAAAATCTCATATTATAAATCGAGGGAAGAGTTTAGTAATACGTGGGATTGGATTGTCTAATTTGATTCGATATCATTTTTTACTTTTTTGAAAAATTTACGTGTGCCTTACTGGCTTTCGTAGCAATCTAATGCCAGATTTTTTTACATGTTGCGATAGCATAAACAGAGGTCTGGCTTTAGTCAGATTGCCATATATGCTATTTGTTTTAGTTCAGTAATTTTACCATGATGATTTACTACAAGGTTGTTGAATTATCAGTCCTGATACATTGACTTAACAATATCATTAAACTACTTGGATCACATAATAAATACAACTTTAATTTTAAAAGGAAAATCAAATAAATGTAGTAATTTTAGCATTCTTAATTTTATTTATAAATATAAATCTATATACACAATGACATGTATCTGTTTCAAAATACTAAAAATCTTTTACAGGATAGAGGCTGATCACTTGTACTTGACAGCAAATAATAATGTCTTGGACAAGTCAAAGAATTTCTTCCAGTCTTACAGAGAAATGACAGTTGATAAAAGAATGGTGGACACAAAGTAAAAGTGCTCTTCAACATTTTGTTGAAGATTTCAGTCTGATTTGGAATTCATCTTGCAATATTTCTGGATTTGTATATTTGGATATAAGCGTCAAATTTTCAACTTATTGACTAAACAGTTTTGCGTTAAATATTGCCAATGCTATCTATTATTATTATTTCCCTCCAAGATAACATGTCAAGTCTTTATTGTACCCCTTAAGCTCTGTTATACCAGAAAAATCTTGTAATGAAATCATTTAGTTTTTTTTTTTTGTTTGATTAAATCCATGAAAATAAAGATTATTTTTAATGGCATCAAGAGAATGGATTTCTTGTTTAACAAAAAGATAGTATACATGTTTTGCTAGGGCTTTGTAAGAAGCAGACCAGAATTCTTTGCTTGCAAATTTTGTCATTCGCCATTTTTATTAATTACGTCATCTATTAGATGATTTATCCATGTTTGAAGCATTTCAAAATTCATATTTACTTACAGTTGAAAGCAGAATTCTGTACTGATATGACCTTGACCCTCTGAAGAACAAGAGTGTCAAGGTCAATTTTTAATACAAAAATGTTCTTTCATCTTTAAAGCCCATATCTTACAAACAATATGATGAAATATACAAAAAGTGTCTAGAATGTGTCCAGAATGTGAAATAACAAACATGTATATAGCCAAAAACTTTAAAATGATGTTGCTTAGCAACCACTTAAAGGTCATTAAACAGATATTTGAACTAAAGTGATGCATGGATATTGCAGTTCTGATCCCTTCTTGAGAGTATATTCAGAATTTTCCATTTCGGCATCCATTGTGTAAAATTATGGCAAGAATATTGAAAAAAGTTGAAAAAAATTGATGAAACTTTTGCACTTATTTAACCTTTGACCTCCTAAAAATAGTTCTAATGAGGTCAAACTTTAAGACAATTTATCTGTTGTATGTCCCTTGTAATTTTATGACCTCACATCTAACTTTTATATGTGCTGGGATGCATAAATGTGTCTAGGATGAGTAAAAAATGAAAATTTCTGCCCGAAAATTAAAGAATTCTGCGTTGCTTAGCAACCCCTTTTAAGTAGTTATATGCAGAATTGAAAAAAAGTTTATGTGTTTCATGTAGTACAGTATAATGCTCTTTTGTGGGTATATCCCAAATTTCCTATTTCAACATGCATCATACTTAATATTTAGCTTAAAGATGAAAAAGTATCAAAAAATCCCATAAAAGTTTGCACTTAATTGACCTTTGACCTCCATTTTTACTAATAAGGTCAGTGGTTGAGTATCTAAACAGTCATAAAATATCATCTGTAAGAAATTTCCTATAAAATGGTATGCATTATGCCTAGCTTTCCTCTTGGATAAAAAAGTTAGAAATAATTTAATAATGCCATGTCAAAAGGCCTCCAAAATCATGTCAAATGCGCCGGAAGAGAAAGGGTTAAAAGAAGCTTTTGAATTTTCAGTGGAAAATTTTTTTTATTACATTTTGGATATAAACTTTTCATATATTCTGAAAAATATTTTAAGAATATAATTAAAGTGCATTTACAAAACTCTACATGAAATTTTATTCCAAAATAATGACATAAAACGTATATATTGCTTTACAAAAGAGTGAAGATATATACATATTATAATGCAAGATGTATAAAATTTATTTTATCGAATATTCGAATATATTCGAATACTACTATCGAATATTCGAATATCAATTATTGACAATTTTGACATCCCTAGTATATAGTCATTACATACCTGGAATATTCCTTTAAATGTTTAATACAGCAAATTTTCTTATTTTTTACATACCATTTTCAGTTCTGGGCATGTAAGGGGTAGACGAGTTGATGCCAAAAAGCACAGAAAAGAACTAGAGAAGTTAGTACAGAAGTCTGTCCCTACGTCTAATGACTCTGGATATGAGGAATGTGAAGAAGGTTTGGAGGAGGAGGATGAGGCTTTAGAGTTACTAGGTAAGACAGCCTGGTCAGAACCTGTAGAAGAGTATGAGGCGATAGAGTTAACTAGGTAAGACAGCCTTAAACTGGTCAGAACCTGAAGAAGAGGATGAGGCAATAGAGTTACTAGGTAAGACAGCCTGGTCAGAACCTGTAGAAGAGTATGAGGCGATAGAGTTAACTAGGTAAGACAGCCTTATAATGAACAAACCCTGTATGACCCAGTGGAAAAAAGTATGTCTACAATATTGTTTGCTTGTACAGTGTAATAAAGCTTTATGAATGTTTTAATTTCTTGAAGATACATGTACATAGTTGTTTTAAAGATTTCTGATTTTAATAATTCAGTGAATAATTTCACAGTTTGTTATTAATAAATTATTTTTCTTATATTATATTTTCCAACAGTTTTTATCTGATGTATCTCTGATACCAGTAAATCTTAAATATTTTGAATGCATAAAAATTATAAATTTTTTTATGCCAATGAAGGATGTTGGCATAGGGTAACTAAAACTTGGGAAAATCTCTGTAATGCTTAAATGTTACCTGTTTTACAATTATGTAGACTTCTGGAGTTTTTACATTGATGAATTTTTTTCTTTTGATATCAATGAAAAGTGTTTTGACACTTAATGAAATGGAATATCTTGGTTATTTTTATGCTTAGCCAGACGTGTCTGTTTTCTGTTGTTTTTTTATGTTTGTATTTTTTCGTCTGATATTGAACTCTGTTTTTGTAGAGGATGCTGATGACTTGCTAAATGAAGGTGTGACAAAAATTCCAAAGTCTGGTTATAAGCTCAGTCGAGTAAGTCATAATTATTAAAAGCATTCTGTGATTTTTTTTTTTTTAATTAAAAAAGCATTAAATTATACTTTTAATACATTTAAAATATAATGATAAAAAAATGTATGTAATTAAAATAAAAGGATCGCAGTACAGTGGACCTTCAGATATCCGGATGCTTCACCTTCCGAACGATTTTTCTCAGGAACGGATTTTTTCAACGTAATTTTGACTCATTTATCCGGAATTCCGCGTTCCGTATCCGGACGGCTCTTTTTTACTACAAAATGTATTTTTACGTTATAATATGGTTCATTTATCCGGACGGTAAATTTTAATTTGTACTTCCACTCTTGTCAACATTCACGTTTGAACTGAGTGATAATTGTTATCAAAACACTGACCGGATTGATTGTTTTTACAAGGCGATCACCTGAGACCTGTTATGAATGACTTACGATGATTAGTCCATAGATTAAGCATGCTAAGTGGATATGGTCATAATATAGGAGAGATCGATACACAAACGAAAATAAACAATTAACTGTGTCGGTAACAGAAAACAATTTTCTAATCAGTTATTTGTTGTCATCGAGATATTTATAATTTTAGTACAGAGCTGGTTTTAATCTCGTTGTCTACACATGTGCACACACAAATCGGTATTGTGTAATTTTCATCTGTAGATTGGTGGCAGTTATCATCGAAAAAAAACCCTAAAATATTCAAACAAATTTGAATAATTTTATAATCAATGATTTCGCTTGGGATGATTACTGCGTGAATTTTTAATATGTCAGATTCAGCGTGGATCAAATTTAAAAAATTAGACTCGTTACTGACAGCTCGCTTGGATGTGATCAAAGCTGCAAATGAGAGAATTCGCTTGGCTATGTTCATCAATTTATAGGAAGTAGAAAGTAAAAATAAGCTGGGTAATTAAAAATCCTCACATATAAGCAGCGTTATATCCAATGTTTGTCATTCTGCTCTCCAGGTACAACCATGTCTACACCGCTTTTAGTTTTATGTACATGTTATAGTTCCTATTTAGCTATAGAAATATCTATTATATTTGAAAAAAAAAAATGTTTAAAAGTAGTGCTGATGTATACTAAAGATATAGTCTATAAAATATTAAATTATTATTTCTATATGATAGTATATATTTATCTTTCTTTATATATGAGTTACAATACAAATACATGTATACCTGGAAGAGAAATCAATAGAATTCAGATATCCGGATGCTTCACTTATCCGGACAATTTGCTTGGGAACCAAAGCGTCCGGATAAATGAGGCTCCACTGTATTTATTAATGATATTGGTCTTGATTTGACTTTAGATATTAAGACAAAGACAAGAAGATGCAAACATCAAGCTTAATATCAAGTAAGTGATCTAATTCTGGATATTGTGAAATTATTAACTCAAATTGCTGATGAATTTTTAAAATAAAAGATGATCATTTTAAGGTTATATTGTTTTATATAAAAAAAGGCAAATATATGTTGATTTAATTTATTTAACATTATGAAGATCAAAATGAATATCAAACTTTGTTAAATGACACTTGTTACATTCTGCTTTGACTAAAGGATTGCTGATGTGTATGAGGGTGAGATTTTTCACAGTTGTCTTTAATTAAGTCATGCACATTTTTATTTGTTTTCAACTAGCAAAGTTCCAGCTCGTTTAACTCTCCCCATAACCCCTAATGCCAGAATCGACAGTTATTTGGAAAGTTTTGTCTGCTATTAACATTAAGTCTTTAAACCTGTCTAGAACAAACCCCTTGTCTTCCTCTTTGAAAATCAGAATTCTATTTTTACTCTCAGGATAATAATGGATTTTTCCCGTGGGAGTTGAATAGCTTAAGGAAGGATGAGATGGACAAGATTTAAAATATTTCAGTTTTCCTTGCTATATACAGTTGTATATAGGGTTGAGACAGATTGTAAAATTAGTCATTATTTTCGTGCAGGACAGAAAGTGAAACTACTTAGGGGATGGGGTGAAGGCTGAGGAGGGAGTTGTAAGGACTATTTAGAATAAACAAAACATGTGTTGCTGAAAATATCAATCATAGGGGGAAAAATCCACAATTCCAAAAACAGTCAAGAATTAGTTCATTTTGATCCCAAGGCCTGTTCAACAGAGCGAGCGTTCCTTATACCTCCAATAGAAATGTTCTCGAGTGCTTGTTCTGTTGAAGAGGCCTCAGGAATACACTCAGAGTCCTTGTAGCCTTAGAACTCTCTACTTTCTCTTTGACTGTTTCCACTGTTGTTTCAGTCTCTATGCGGGTGAACAACCAGCAGACAGCTACATAGGTTTGTATGGCACTTTTGCACTAACTTCTAGAGGTTTTTCTGATTTTATTTGATGTTATTTTGTGTTATATGTAACAGTAATGGTCACTAGAAAGCTCTACATGAGGTAAATATAGCCTATCATGTTTTGGTGTTATTCATGAATTTATGCACTAATCGTTGTGCTACGAATCAAACTCTTGAATTAATTAGTACCCTGTCAGATGGTAAATTGTAAATTATCTACATTATTTTTCCCTTTATAAAGCCAAAACTTTTTGGATTATATTGACTGCTAATTATTTTAAAAAAATTAATAAATAAAACAAGTTAAAGTAACAATATTAAAGATTTGAAGTATTTATTTTAATAGAGGATTTCTGAAAGAAATGTAAAGTAAGAGTAATATAATTATTAATGTATACTGTTCTGAATTTGCTTTAAGGGGAAGGATTGTACAAATCCTCAAAGATAGACGATCTGTTTGAATCTGATGAGGAAAGACCTGCTACTGGTACGTAATCATTAAAATGTGACCGAGCAGGTATATGTCTATCTGTATCACACCATATGTGCATAAAAAATACCAACAGAGTAACCTAATATACCTTATTTGTATCAAAAATACCAACAGAATATTAAGGAGGCTGGGGGGTCAACAAATTAATCTCAAATTAAGCATAAGATTTAACTTATATTTTAAGATATGGTATCTTAAGCTGTCAGCTATCATTTGGCAAAGAAAAAATTCATACATTTTAGTTTTAAAATTTGATCATTTTTGTATATCTTTATATGGAGCTCTTCTTTTAAAGGAGATCGAAATAGTCTGAAAATGGCTGCCACCCCCAGCCTCGTTAATGAGGAAGGGAAAACTTCTTGTTCTTTTGTAATTTTTAATGAGTTTTCAACTCATAGACACTAACAGTAAATATGATTTACAGAAAGTACATTATTTTTTGGACTAAATGTATTGTATGTTTTTCATTTCTTAAATCTTTTTAGTCTTCTATGTTTCTAGATGGGAACTTAGTTATAATTATCATCATTACAATACAGATTTCTACATCATTGAAGGAGAACCTTTCTATTCCAGGTATGTCTGGATTCAGGTCGTCACCAGGTGACAGTGATGAGGAATTCGAAAGTGTGTCTCAGGTCACCGGTCCTGTACGTATTTAACTTACCATTGTATTACACTTCAAGGTTTTTTATATGATCCTCTGAACTATGTAATCATAATATTTATCTTTCAATTGATACCCATGTTGAAATTTAACATTCAAGGATTTCAACATTTCTTGGCGTACCTGACCTTGTTCTTATGACCTTGAAACTGGATTCTGATACACCTTCTGGTCATACACAGACTCTGTATTTAATAAAGTTTTAGTTTTTCTGCATTAGTGTATCACATTTAAAACTTTGATATTTTACTACTTTTAAGGACTAGGTTGTCAGTTGATGCATCTTTGGTATGATATGCTTAGACAAAATTAGGTTATATTGACCTAATATTGAATTAAGCTGCTACAGTATTTTATTTTCAATCTGGTTTAGATACATGTCTTGGACATGGTTACCATAGGAACATCACACTTTTGACTGGGGTCTCAGGGTCTGACAATAAAAAAAGGTCACGGTGACCTACTGAACTTTATGGCTTTTCATTTTCAGACAATAACTATTATGGACACTAGGAAGCTTATAATCATCAAATCATCAAATCTTGTCAGTTGATGCATTTTTAGCTCACCTGAGCCGAAGGCTCAAGTGAGCTTTTCTGATCACATTTTGTCCGGCGTCCGTCTGTCCATCTGTCTGTCCGTCCGTCTGTCTGTCCATCTGTCTGTAAACTTTTCACATTTTCGACTTCTTCTCAAGAACCGCTGGGCCAGTTTCAATCAAACTTGGCACAAAGTATCCTTGGGTGAAGGGGATTCAAGTTTGTTCAAATGAAGGGCCACGCCCTTTTCCAAGGGGAGATAATTATGAATTAGAGAAAAATTAATGGCAATTTTTTAAAAATCTTCTTCTTAAGAACCACTGGGCCAGGAAAGATGAAACTCATATGGAATCATCCTCAGGTAATGTAGATTCAAGTTTGTTCAAATCATGACCCCCAGGGCTAGGGTGGGGCCAAAATGGCCGACCCAAGATTTACATAGGAATAAATAGGAAAAATCTTTAAAAATCTTCTTCTCAAGAACCATTGGGCCAGGAAAGATGAAACTCATGTGGAATCATCCTCAGGTAATGTAGATTCAAGTTTGTTCAAATCATGACCCCCGGGGCTAGGGTGGGGCCAAAATGGCCGACCCAAGTTTTACATAGGAATATAAAGGAAAAATCTTTAAAAATCTTCTTCTCAAGAACCAGTGGGCCAGGAAAGATGAAACTCACGTGGAATCATCCTCAGGTAGTGTGGATTCAAGTTTGTTCAAATCATGACCCCTGGGGCTAGGGTGGGGCCAAAATGGCCGACCCAAGTTTTACATAGGAATATATAGGAAAAATCTTTGAAAATCTTCTTCTCAAGAACCACAGGGCCAGGAAAGACGAAACTCATGTGGAATCATCCTCAGGTAGTGTAGATTCAAGTTTGTTCAAATCATGACCCCCGGGGCTAGGGTGGGACCAAAATGGCCGACCCAAGTTTAACATAGGAATATATAGGAAAAATCTTTAAAAATCTTCTTCTCAAGAACCATTGGGCCAGGAAAGATGAAACTCATGTGGAATCATCCTCAGGTAGTGTAGATTCAAGTTTGCTCAAATCATGACCCCCAGGGCTAGGGTGGGGCCAAAATGGCCGACCCAAATTTTACATAGGGATATATAGGGAAATCTTTTAAAATCTTCTTTTCAAGTACTTCAAAAGCTATGACTAGTGATATTTATATGGAATCATCATCAGGTAGTGTAGATTCTAGTTTGTTCAAATGATGAATGCCTGGGTTGTTTTTTTTTAAATTCAAGCCCGATGTGCTCAGGTGAGCTCTGTGGCCCCTGGGCCTCTTGTTTGGTCTGGGTTATAGGTCAATTAAATAGTAGACCAAATATTTTCTGAAAATCTTTAGACCTAATTTGAACTTTAAAGGTTGATACATCTTAGGACCCTGAGATGTGTCGATTCAAAAGTAGGTCACAGTGACCCATATTTAGAATTCCATTATCTTTCATGGATTTGATATGCAGAGACCTAGGGTCAAATATTTTTAGTACACATTTTTAAATGGGCTTGGGATATTGGATTTTACCAAAAGGTTTAATACTCTTTCTATGTTATCTTTGTTAAAGTGTACAAATCACAATTTTAACAACAAAGTGAGCAACATTCTAAAGCTTTTTGATTTTTTTCCCCAGAGAAGACCAGTGTGGAATGTTGGAGAAGATTCTGATGGTGAGATTTTTTTTCACAGATTTGAAATTTAGTTAAAGTGCAGTTTATTCGCTGCATTATTATTTCTTTGAAATCTGGTGTATGATATAGTTATGAATTGTTTTTTTATATTTATATAATGTATGATGTAAATGCTTTATCATTTTATAAACAGTTTTATATATATTATGATGACAAATTCTAATTAAGTGTTAATTATCCATCTGAAAAATTCTTTCAGGTGATTCATTTTATCCCCGCAATTCCAAGACGTCCCCAGAAGTTTCCGGGTACAGGAAACAGAATACATCACTATCAGAAAGGTATTCACCTCTTACTCGTAGTCATACATGTAGCATTGCTTGTAATCTTAATATGGAATTGACAGTGGTATTTGTCATTTGTTCAGTGTAGAACTCTATTTAATTAAACACATTTGAATCACATTCCTTTTTGTAAGCA